TTGATCGATTAGATCGTGTTGTGCAACCGTGGAACGCAGCGGAATTGTCTTACGCCGGGTAATTAGGGGCTCTTATAATCCGTCCTCGTTGGTCATTGCTTTCACTTGACGAGATGAAGCGTTAAAGGCTTACGCAACGCGTTTTTTTTTTTGTCTTATACGCCAGTCGCCCTGTACCGTGTATGACCTATTGGTACACTGACTGTGCAAGCTTTGCGAACTTGCCGTCGAACGTATGAAAAGAAAGAATAAAACAGTCGAAAAATAGTATACAATCGGTATTTAAACGATCGAGTAATTTACCTTTTATGGACCTGTGCGGACGCGCATGACACAGCTATAAATCTATAGAAAATCACCGACAGCATCATCGCATAGAGATGCTGTTAATAATATTATTATTATTATCACAACGACGAACCGTTATATTACAATACACCGATCACCGTTCGGTGCGAGCGATGGCGGTTACCGGTTTGGCACCGGCCATTACAGCCACAACACTGCGCTGCAATCAAAAGCTGATCGCACATCGACAACGAACGATCTTGAGATGGCGACCGAACCGCGGGTTTATTGTTGTTTTCTTCGACAAGAATCCGAATGTTCCTATTTCGATTCACGACCGTGGTCGTGAGCGAAAATCGTGAAAAGTCGGCACTGACTACTGACAGAAATCCTTAAAGAAAGAGATCATGGCGAATAGGCGATAGAATAGTAGAGTATCATAATCGCCAGTAAGTGTGTGCAGTAAAAATCTGCTCGACGGCGCAGCTGTTAACACGCTTTTGAGTCGTTGAAATAGAAAGTCTTAAGGTTGGCCGCAACGAGTCAACGACACGCCAATCGTTATGATCATAATATTATTTTTGTCGAGGGGTTAGCCGCGTCACCTCGTCCGGATACAGCAAATACAGGCATTGCCCATTGCAGTAGTTCGTTTTGCCACTGGCGTTGAAAACAAAATCGCATTTTCTGCGCTTCGTACAGCAAACGTGTATAATATAAGCGTTATGTACATCATTTGTTTTTTTGACTACTATATCAAAAAGGCGGTCACTGTTAAACGAACAAGGAAAAAAAAACCGTCGGTCGCGTTCGATTCCTGAGCGGCCGGGCTTTCACGATACGATAACGTGTATCTTAATTTAATATCTGTATGTATCGACGGACCGTCCGAGTGTAACCGAAAATCGTGTACCCGAGGTCCACTGACACAATTGTAAAGGATGTGAGCGCGCCGTGTGTATTAAACGACCGTTGTCGTTAATTATCATATAATAAAATAATATAATACCTGTACCGTCGGCGGTACTAGGTATAGAGCAGGTAACTTGCACGGGGCAAGCGCGAGTAACAATTTTTTCTTTTTATGAACACACACACACACAACCGATCGACGTACGGTGGGGATAAGTGGCACAAGAGGGCACGGTTGAAAGTATTCGGGGCTTTAGCTGCCCCCTAGGAGGTAGCCGGTCTTCTCGCTGCAGGTTATACGGACGCGACGCTTTTCGGGGTCATTCCCGGTTAACTACAATAACGACCGGTCATCAATATTCTGATGTGTAGACGTCGGCACGTCGGTTATTATAATACATACTCTACATAGTACAAACACTTTGATCCGCGGTACGATAATTATTACTATTATCAATATTTATAGGTAGTATATAGATACAACAACAGCTGCTGTTATTATAATATATTTTTATGGCCATAATTCCCAACCGATCGAACATCGCGCTACTCTGGACCGGCGTTCTCAGTTTGTCGAAAGCATATAATTTCCAAACGAAAAATATCGCAGAGCCGACTAGAAAATCAGGGCTGAAGAAAAAAAGACCCACACGTTAAATGGAAAACGCTGGTATTGACGAATTGACGGTGTTTTTATTTTAGATATTGAGTTTTAATATAGTGAAATCCAAATATGCGGGTAAAATAGTTTTGTCGGTTGCGACATTAGCGTTGCCTATCTATATATAGTATACTTTAATCAACGCCCTATGGTAGGACTATATTTGATGGAATAGTGACTCAAGTGCAGCGATTAAAGCCGAAAAAAGCCCCGGGCTTATGGTTTCGATTACTATGTTTATTTTTATTTTTTTTTATTCGGAACTTGCATAATTTACATATTATGTCAAAACCGGCTGTGTTCACTGAGCGTTATTTCTCCTATCCGAGTTTTTTTCCTTTCTCGTATAATATTTCTAAAGTAGGAAGTGATAGCGAGTACAAATATTTTTCCTCGATAAATGATTATATTTTAATACGTCCGTTGCATTCGGGTTAACGCGAAACCCGTCCCGGAACAATGTCATTCGCACAATTTGTGCGTTGATAAAATCGATTAAACACTGTCAACTGCTTTCGTCGGCCTCGCGAGTCATTCTAGAGTCAAACGACATGGACGTTTGATCGCGGTCTGTGAATACATCTAAACAAAAATCCAACAGCCGTCTTGAGAATTTGTTAGAAATATCATATACCTACCTAATGCCTATGGGGTTCTGTGCATTCAGGTGGCGCAATGTAGGCAAACCGCTCCACCGTTCGGGGGTTATCCGCGCGAGATAAGTCTTGGAGTTTTACCAAATACGTACATTTTTTTCTCTCTCTACAATACCGTGTAAATTATGTATTATTATTATTATACCTGCACGTCCACCTATCGGTTACCGCCACGCCTATAGACCGTCGCCGTCCGGAATGCCGCATTCCGTAGCCGAGCACCACTTACGCCGAGAACCGCTTAAATTGACGGTCTGTACCGTCTCAAATTTATTACGCTGTTTTTAAAGAAGCTACTCGTTCGCACGCGTGTGTCCGAAACAACAAAAATCTCTTTACCGTGATTTGAGATTAGCCGTCTTTTCCAGTACCACTACGGCGAAAGTCCGTACGGTCTTGCGGTTGGCCGCTGGGATATGTCGGTGCATGGTGTAAGATATGAGATAATGATAATATCGAATACCACAACACCGTCGTTTAATGTGCGATGGAATCGTTTTTTTCGTCCTTAAACATGAAATAATCATACACTTTTTCTTACATAGACTCAATAAACGTCTGCGATCCGTATCATTGTGGCCTGTCCTCGGAAAGCTGCTGTAAAGAGCCACGAATGGTCGGCAACAAGTGGCGTTGTGGGAACACCACCGCAGTCGTGGGAGAGTTGCCCAATTTGTTCACGTCCACGTTTGTTTTTGCACCGTGTACTTTCCAAGGGAGATTATTCGCATTTAAAACTGTTTCCAAGGCGGCGGCAAAAGTTATTATTATATCGACGGTTTCGAAACGGCCTCAGACGGACGCCTTAACCAAACCGTGGATAATGAACGCCAAAACGTTGTCTCCGCTACGCTATAATAATATTATCATTGTGCGGTATACGAAAATTGCAAATTTTCAAGGCGTAAACGTTCCACGAGGCATTTTTGTTGTTATCGCAAAAACCGGTTTTCAATTCAAAACAAAAACTTTTTTTTTTTTCTACGTCCAACTCACGCTAACCGATAACAATGGTGACGCGCACTTGAATATTAATGCATTCCCACTGTCGTCCGTCGGTTTTACAAAGCTAATCCATAACGGTTTATAATTATTGCGCTGTTTACTAGTCGAAATCGAACCGATAAGAGCCGTTTAGAAAACAATGCCTATAGTTAGTAGTAGAGCTATTAGCTGTTATAGTAGCAGACGAAAATCCCTCGTGCTCTATAGCCGGTGAGCGGGTTACACATTTGTCTAGTCCGACCACCAAGTAGAGAGTATTAAATAAACGAAAGGTGTTTCGTGCCACCTTCCCACGAAAATATTATTCCCTACAATTATACAATACGCTTACCGAAAACTAGCCAAACGGTTTAGATATATATATAACGAATGTTAAAAAATAAAGTGTAAATCTAACTAATACCTAGTCGCGTTCGTTACAAAACACTAAATTGGAATAAATACTATTCGTTTAGAATTATTTTGAAAGAGAAGGTGGTAAATAATTTCCGCTCGTTGATTTTTATCATTTGACCGAGGTAAACACTTAAAGATCCACGTGGTTATCATAACGTAACAAGCATGCAGCCTAAGTTAACCATGCGTTAGTAACTCTAGGTATTAAAAATTCACCTGAAAATTGATATGAATCGACCGAGTAGATAATAATAAAATTATTAGCCTTGAGATTTAGACTGATTCGCGTTATGATTTCTACATTACACACAGGTGCCAATTCTAGACGCGTGGAAAGGAAAACACTATTATTATTAAAATTATTATTATATCAAAACTAGTTTGTGGGCCCGGCTGGCGTTTAACTTAAGCTCCACCCATATCGCTAACGAAGACTAGCAAATTATACCTATCTATCTAGCTGTTCTCCGAGCGATTCTGGTTTTTCGGGTCATTTTTTGCAAGTGTCAGTTTGGCTGGTTTTTACCTAAAATATATCATAGCGGCACAGCTTCAACGTGCATCTATTATATATACTATAACAGTTGTTTTTTTTTGCTAACACTATGCTATGAAATAGGTACTGTTTTTTATTTACACGTTACAATGGTTCGGTTTAATCCGGGCAGGTTATTCTGGCATAATGATTACACGACGTGTTAACGTGCGCAATATACGTGCCGTGTACAATATGTGTCAAAATAACTAAAACGTCATGACTGATAATAATAATTGTATTATTATTATTAGTGTCTTAAGGCTTGCGGCATTCTGTGAAAACAACAAGCTCGGGTTATAATTGAAAATGTATAACGCGACCTCGGTCTCGGTCGTTCGGGATTTGTTCGGTACCTACACCTACCATAGGGGAAAACATTAGAAAGGAAAATACAATGGACGTTGTTGTTTTCGGGTTCGTAGGCGGTAAACTAGAAGAATACAAAATCGTTGGCGGCGAATTAGCGTTGTTATGATACATTATATCCGAGTCGGAACAGAGAGGGAATACGTATATGCATGTTAAGTGCGCGAACGAAAGTTACCTGGACGATTATCTTTTGCTTTTGATGGGCCGCTGTTGCATTTTGTTCTGGTGTACCACTTGGTCGACTCTGTCCAGTTCGTCGCCGGAGAGCTCTAGATCCTGCATCATCTGCATGATTTCTCTTTCTTTTTTAATGTCGGTTTTGGGTACGCCGTCCACGCCGTTGGGCACGATCGGGGGTGCGGCAAATTTCAAATTGGCCAACGACCCGTATGACCGGGAACGGTGCTCTTGCCGGATGGAGTACGAAAACGCGCGCTCGTTCAGGTGACCCTTGCGCCGGTAGATGCCAGTGTTGTACACCGACTCTTCAGTGTCGTCGGTTTCGTCGTGGGACACCCCGTTGCCGTTGACCCGGTTGCCGTTGACGGCCAGCTGGGGCACCGGAACGCCGCCGTTGCTAACCGAGTCTTTTTTCTTGTTCTTTTTGTCTTTTTTGTTTTTCGTCGGTAACGGCCCGTTGTTGTTGTTGTTGTTGTTGGCGTACTGCTGCATGAGATACGCCTCGTGCGGGAAATGCTCCGGTTGGTACGACGCGATCGGGCTCAATGGTCGGGCCGAAGGCATGTAAATCGGTTCTTCCATCGCTAATGGCATGGGTATGGCTTGCATGTGCTTGGGCTTCTTGCCCCCCGTGTGCACGTACATGGGCATCGGCATGAAATTCGGAGGCATCATTCCTGGTCTGGGAACCGGCATCATGCCCGGTTTCATTTTGTGCATTTTTTTGGGGTGCGGCAGCGTGGTGGGCACCATCATTAACGGCGGCGGTGGCGGAGGCGGGTGCATCATCGCGGGATGATGATGATGAAAACCGTTCATGGGCCTCATCATCGTGCCGTTCGAATAAATGTGATTTGGCGGAGGCGGAGGCGGCGGTATGGGTGACATAAACCCTTTGGGCGGACCCCTGCTGACGATGGTGCCGTTCAAAGACACCGAGCTTCGACCGTTCATGGGTCTCATCAACGACCCTCCGTTCACGGACAACGAGTAGAGGTCCTCTCGGCTGCCGCCGCCACTGCCCGTCGGAGTTCTCTTACGGCGGGGTCGTTCCTTATTCTTTTTGGACGCCTTTTCATCCCTAACCGGCGGTGGTGGCGGCGGCGGTGGCGCGGCGCCTACAATCTGCCGGGGCCGACTGGAACGCGAGCTGCGCATGGTGTTCCCCCCGGTGTATATATCGTCTTTTTCCGATATATCTTTGGTGCTGCCCACCCAAACTTTATGGTTTTCGTCTCCATTGCACTCTGACAAGTCGTCGATCGAGTTGGTGGACGCCTCCAGCGTGGTGATGCCGTTGGAGTGGGCGCTGTTCAACGTCAACGTACTGCCGGCGTTGGTCATGCGCCTCCAGCCCTCCACTTTCTCTATGGTATTGTTGCCCATCGACCGGTTCGTGCGCAACGTCCCGTATATGCTACTGCCGTTGGTGCCGTTTGTGTCCACTTGCTTGGCGTACGACGAGTCGGCGTAAGCGTGGAAACAGCACCGGACCAGAGCGTTCGCGGCCATTTCGCGTTTGCATATGAACGTGTGACACTCGAGCACTTTGATGCCGGAAGTCCGGCGCAGTATGGCGGCGAAAAGCGGCGGGTGGTTGGGATTCGGTGACCTCGCGAACGGAGAGTCCAACGGCAAAAATCTCGGTTGCGACGAGTTGTTGGACTTTTCTGGTACCAACACGAATCTGACGGCCGCGCAGTAGTGCAGCGACTCGATGGGGAAGAACCTGGTGATTTTCTTGTGGTTCTCGTCCACGTTTTCCAAAAGAAGGCCATTGCTCCACACGCTGAGCCAGGAGTCGATACCCCTAGCCCCCAACGCCCCCTGCTCGGGGTACAGTTCTTTGAGCGGTTCCTGAATACCCTGCAGGCCGTCTTTGGTAATGTGCGGCACCGCCGAGCCCAAGTACAATACCCGGCATCTGCAAATCGGCGTCGAGTCGGACGGTCTCATTTGCATCATCATACTCATGATGATTAAAGGTGAGTATGCGGTTTCTTATTGCAAAATCGAGCGAGGTCGCTGCGTGCGACACGACGAGCTACGGTTAACACGCGAATTGGCCCGACGACAAAACACGTAGGTAAACTAAATACTTGTAAGCGTTCGCTATAGGTTCTTACGTTCCTCGCGTCACATTACTATTACAGAACTCGTTGTGTTATAGCCGGCAATACAGGGTGTAGGGTTTCCGCATGCAAGAATAAATCAAAGACGATCGAAACTTTAGATAAACCTGTTTCGTTATTATTATTATATTTACTAGATACTCTCAACGTATCATCGCACGAAACCGTGGACGCACTTGGTTCGATGGGCCTCGACCCGCACGCTAATCGCCACTGAACATTACTCGCGTTGAACTACTCACGTTTTAGAAAAACGGACTTCGCTTGAACCGGAAAACGAAACAAACAAAAAACCTATTGAACACCGACACAAGACTACGACGACGACGAACGGACCCAACGGCGGATGGTGCCCCATAGACTGACGGTGCGGTTGTAAGTGACCTGTTGTGCAGGTTACACGAAGTCTCTCCCACCACTCCGACGACGACGCGACGACGGCGTTCTGGTATCCACGAAGATAGCGTGTAGTCCCCTCAGGTACAAGGTACCGGTTCACCTGTTGATACCGCGTCTACTTTTACCTATAGGCGTGTTTTGTAAAGGTAAAAAAAAATCGAGCGCAGACGATTGACGATTTTTTCCCTTCGTTCGAGGTAGGTATTCGTTCTGTCCGTATACAAACCTATACACGTTTTGTAAATTCCACACCGAGTCAAGTCCGTGAAAACTAATTTTTGTCAAATTCTTCCCTTGTATATATATATAATAGTTGTATGATGTACGTTTTCAATCCGATTATGTTATTACATCCGTTTCGTTATTCTATAATAATAATATATAATGCATTATTCGCTGTCTTGGGTCGGTGGGTGATCCGCCTACAGTCTAGACCGTCAAGAAAATAATATTTACTGCACAAGATTATTCAAATTAATTTATAACTACAATTTGTAAATTTATATTTTCTATAATACATTTAATATTTGTATACAATGTAGATATAATCTAAGGATTATATACAGGTTTCCCACAAAGATTCAACAAATAAAATAACTTTTGTTCTAGTGAATATTTTTAAGATATTTTTTTAAAAAATTAATTTATACTCATTTTAATTTTTTTTAAATATTTTTGTTTAATGCGTGTAGTTAAAAATAACTACCGCACTCCACTTCCCGTCTTAAATTTTAACCTTTAATTAATTTAAAAGTATTTATCCAACCAATTAGTTATCGACAAATCAAAATTTTCATAAAATTATTCTTAAAAAACTGGATGTCTTGAACTAAAAAAAAAAATTTAACAAAAAAACTAAAAAAAAAAAAAATTGAAAAAAGTAAAACAGCATTACAAACCGTGGTGTTTATAGCGCAAATGAGTATAAATTCATTTTTAACAAAAAAATCTTAAAAATATTTACAGCAGCTCTGAACAGAGACAGATGGAAAGAGATTTGTTTTGCAGCAATGGATTTTAAAGCTGGAAGAAGAAGAAGAAAAATATTTACTAGAATAAAAGTTATTTCATTTCGACATCTTTGTGGGACAACCCGTATGTATGTATTTAATATATTTATACTATAAATGTATGATCAATAAAATGCACTTAATTATAAAACTGTGATAGGGTGGATGAAAAACTGAAAAGTTCAATTTCTTACGTTTGGAAAAATACAATTAGAGCTTTTCAGTAAAATTTATTCTTAAGTATTAGCTTTCATAATAGCAGTCGTAGCTTAACAATGAGAGCACCCAGCCATACAATATCTTGCCACTTTGAGTGACACCTTTTTGAAAAACATACCTGTATAGTTACCTAAAAATTGACAAAAAGTAACGTATTAGCATCTGTCATCCTACCACAGACATAAAAAAGCAAGAACAGTGGGGTTGAAGCAAAGAGGGGTCGGACATTGCACAGACTAATAAGAATTATTATAACTAAAATTGATAAAAATTACTCTGTGGTCTTATAACGTACCCTTAAGTATACGAGTTACGATTACTTAATTTGGGGAACAATTTCGTATTAAACCAGCGCGTAATTATTTTATTAGTAGTTAACCCGATACGATTGCTATTTATATTTATAACGGTGTTGTTAAAAACCAATCCTTTGCCTCTTTTAATTAAGTCTTCACTATTTATATATTGTTTAGCTACATCCTGATATTATCGAACATAAGAAACTACCACGACCAACTTGAATTCTTTAAAACAAAACAACATTTCTTCAAAACAACATTTGAGGTATAGTCCAAATTTGTTCGATATTTATCTACGGGAGGAAAATAGTAAGTCTAAAATACTTTAATTAAGTGTAGAATACTTCAATCAACGTTTTTAGTATGATGATTAGCGACTCTTTAAGAATAATGATATATACCTTTTAAATACATATCCAGAAAAAAAATGTAATTAGGTCCTAGGTAGGATCGACAAATGTATTGGATAGTTTTTTTAGTGCACATACTATATCCTATTTTCCTACTATCATGACTATGTTCTTAATATGTTACTTCCTACTTCGTAAGCTAAAATTTAAATTATTTATATTGTTAATTTATTTTATCATGCTACATCTAATATCTTACCAACACCTTAATAACTAAAATAAATAAATATAAAAAAAAATAGTTGACATGATTAAATATACAACTTTTTTTTGCCTATATTATACCCCTTAATAAAAAAATAAATACTATGTAGCGGAAAAATATTAAAATAATGTTTCTGCTATGTCTTACATAGTGCTAACATTTTTAAATCAAATTTTTATTTGTAAGTAAAAGTGTTTTACGTTTTTTTGAGATTAAATTTAAAAAAAAAATGTAAACCTAATTTTTCTGTATGATTTTTTACTGCACACCAAAATATATCTAACAGTTGAAATATATTAATTGTGTACATTTTGACAATATAGCAAATTTTACAAATATTTTTTGGTAGATAAATATCAGATATAAACCTTTCTTAGTTCTCTTTGGTTATTTTCACGTAGGTAAACAGAATTGATAAGTCGATGGACATCCGTCAGGCAAGCAGCAAGCTACTTTATCAACAATGTTGTAATCTTCATTCTAAGCAAGTTTAGGCTTCTTTCTGGAGTTATAATAACAAATTGAACTAACATCACATTTTTTTAAATACATCTACCCAATACTAAAATAAAACAAATAAAATTATATTAAGTTTATAAAGTTTAAACTAGTTAATCATTAATAAAATTCAACGATTTACTAAAAAAAAATTACTTAGGCAACTTTCAATCAACCAAACAAGCTTTTTTTTATAAAGCAAGAGGAAAATAATATATAATTTTAAGTGAAAATAAAAATTAAGCACATATACTATACAATGAATGAAGTATTATGCAAACATTATGGGGTTTCAAATAAAAGTAAGATTCAATTAAAAAATGTGTGTGGTTATTATATAAAACTCCTTCATATTACCTTCACTATAAAGCCCGTCATTTCCTATTATTTGTATTAAGATGACAAATAAGGCAGACGTATTTCCTTATAGAGTCAGACATATATTACATAGCTGTAATACTATTATGTTAAATATTATTTTAGAAAACTTGCACTCTATTTTATTTTTTTTACCTGTACGATCTATATTTTGATTGCGTCACATTATACATTTTTTCTACCAATTATGTTTAAGCCTAAAGGTTGTAGATGTTTAAAAACCACTTAGCTTCTATAGCCGTACAATTATAAATAATTATTCGGTCGGAGCACTCAATTTCCTTAAATGCGTTTAAAACAATCAACCGGGGACTTGATCTAAACTACGATAAAAAAAAGTGTTTACAATAATCAATACTAGTTCTAAAATACAATATCCATCATTAACTTAAACAAAAAAAAAAGACTTCTTTTTCTAATCTGGATTGAATGCAATTTTAGTAAACTTAAAATTTTAATGCGGGAATGACATATAGCATATCGATAGTTAACTACAAAATTTTCTAAAGTTTCATTAAAAAATACGAGACAATATATTTATCTAAGCTTAAGCGTGGAAATTCTTGTACTTTTTAATATATTTTTGATAATAAGTGGGTTGAGCTCAAGCCCAAATAAAGTACTCCTTCATATACTGTGAAAAATGGCGATTTTATAACAATAATTCCGAGACACTGAATTAGATTCTCGCAAAATTATTTTGAAGGAAAACATTGTAATTTTTCCTATAGAAATGACTGTGACAGTCTAACCCATTAAAGAATCTTTATTACTGTATTAATACAGTAAAACATATACAAAATAGTTTAGACTCTAAATTAATATTTGCGAACAATTGCCTAAAGTTTACTTCTTAATAAATGGATTGGTAGTAGGGACCTTTTTATAATGCATTTGATACAAATTGTATTTACCTAAAAACAATGAATTAATTCGTGTATAAGTAATGGTAAGACTTATGCCTATTTATTTATCAACAAAAAATACAAATAAAAGTTAAATTAAAATATTAATTAAGTATTAAATGCATAGCCATAAAAATCAGCACTTCTTTTTGTCCTTAACGATATTTAAAACTATTTGTACATTTAATTATATACCTACAGACACAAATATCTTCTTTGAAGGTAATGTTTATATAATATTTTGAGTTTTGCTCTCGTTTCACTTCTAAAAATAAAATTGCCAAGTATATTATTATAAAATGTAAATCGTTTGGCACAGCGCTCAATTTTTTTTTAATTCTCCTTCACAGTGTTTACTGGTCATATCAGTGCGTGGCCCAGAACTTTATCACAACTTAGAATGGCCCATACACGATTATTAATATTAATTGGTATTAATGATAACATTTATCGTGTATCGCCTGTATTGAATGATAGATCAATTGAACAAGTTAGTATTTTTTTTTTACTGATGCTCTCTCAATTATTTTGAGAACTATTGTCAATATTTGTCAACATTTGATCTAAGAGCCATTTTAAACATGTCAACTAATTTGTAGATATTGAGTTTTTCTAGTTACACAACTTTTCAAGTTATTTTTCTCTGAGTTATGGCAATAGTTTGAAAAAATGAACCAAATGACATTCGTTGAAATTTGAAAGCAGTTAAATTAACCGTGTAAGTTTTATTTAGAACGTCCTTTTTTTAAAACATATATTAGCTTATTAATACTATTAGATTTAATTTACAAATCTTAGTAACAGTTTGTATTATTTTTTTATTTACAGTAATAATTATTTAAATAACAAAAACTTCATACAATTTTTCGCCAACATAATTTACACATATTATGTCATTTTCACAAAAGACTGCGTCTAGCAGTGTTATACAATATTATTATGACTTAAATAATGGCCAATGGGTATTAAACAAATTAAAAATTGAAGGTTATCCGTGGTAAAAAGTATGAGGTACCTATCTTACATTTTAGAACCAGCGTGCTGAGAACTAAGAATAGATATAAAATATATATTATACGTGTGACACTTTATAGAATATAATATAAGTGTTCTGTGTTTCATTTAATTACGATCATAAGACATTTAATCCATAAGCCTACTTTGCGAGTCGTTATAAGTTTAAGACGCATAAAAGATAAAACCTATCATCCGTGTATGTATTTATTTAGTAAATAATTTTTAATTTTACCAAAACACATTTGAAAATAATTTAATACAAAATTAACAGATTACACAGCAACATCTAGTTTAAATTATTCAATAAATTACGCTTAAAATATTATGTAATATCGATTTTGAGAAAACGTTTTTATAAATTAGGTATAATAATAATAATAAATAAAAAATGTTTAACTGAAAGTAATTAGTATTTAAATTATACACACTTACTTGATGTTTCGGCGATAATTAATGTGTTTCGAAGAGACGGTCGTTGGATTCCATGCGATATTGCTATGTAGTAATATTCTAGATGAATCAGTCCCTTTCACTTTGCTGTCAAATTCCATGAACACTTCGGCAGCAAAGCGGAAAAAGACAAACCCACAAGAACGTTATGCGTGTGACTATTCTAACAAATCCATATTAGCATTTACCACCGGTCGAATAAACGTTGTTTTTAATTATAATTTTGACACGCTACTCGACATTTACCAATTACAACTGCACATTAATAATGATAATAATAATTTGAAAAAAGCTACTGAAAAAATTAAACGAAAGCTTCTTCGACTATAGTCTACTGCGGCGACAAGTATTATGACGGTGTAAAGTCGGCGGGGCTTATCGAAATATTTGTTCTAAACTTAATGCCTTCCTATCATGGTCGTCGCCGTCCTATGCGTTATGTAAACATACGTCGCATGCATCATAACGTCGAGATAATGTTTTTAACAAAAAAAAAAACCAACAAGAGTACAGTTTTATATAATTTTTTTTTTTTTACGACAGACAATATTGTGTGCAGACGTTACCGTGTCTCGATCGGTATTCCCGATTAAAGTTGACGGCGAAGAGAGCGGATTGAAAATCGGATAATACTTGTCGGGTCCAACGGTAGAACGGGAGATGAAAATCGGATGGTTTTAATTGATTGCTAAGTAAAATAACGGTCAACGGCAAATTCGTGTTTCGTATTTGCCGGCAAATGATGGTACTGGCCGTCGGGCGGTGAACGATTTGCAAAAACGCGGTCAGCAGATACTAAAATTAATACAAACGTGTAAAAAAAAAAGAGAAGAAATCGTATATGTAAACCCGTGTATGTAAACGATGACGCACGGGTGATGCTATTTTTTTGCCGAACGTTTTCGAGCAATTTATTTTGGTCGACCGACGAGGGGGCGGCGATTCTGGATCATCGTCAAGGTCAAAGGATAAATATTTCATCGTGTGTGCCCGCTAATGTCGTACAAGCACACACACACAGCACTAAATGAAGCCGTCGCAGCTGATGGTCAGCCTATAAGGCATTAGGCAACTGTGTTGTATTCACACGGATATAATTTCCACGACTTTTGCCGTTTTGTGTGATTTGAGTAGGTATATTGTATCATCATTATTTACATTACTACTGAACGCATTGATACGGTCGTACGGATGAATCATGGAGAAAATATGTATCACATATTTTTACTGGGAGCCAAAGTTCGTGCCAATTCAATTCGCTTAATTACATTACACCCGCACGTTTAAAGTTACAATCTAAACAATAATAATACAGTGAAATATCTATTTACGGATAACCATTGGCGGAATCAGGGGGTGGGGGGGGGCTTAAGATACTAAAAACCTTAAAACTTAAAATTAGTGTTTTTCAAAATACCTACATTTATTTATAGCGAGAGATTTGTTGAAATCAAAATAAATGTAGCACTAATTTTAAGTTTTAAGGTTTTTAGAATCGCGAGCCCTCCTCCCCTGATCATCGCCAATGCGTATAACCCATATTGGTGGACAACTTTTAATTTATTATAGAAATTAGTAGATTATTCATGCAAGTCGTATTACATCACATTTTGATCTGCGCACATTACTCAACCGTCCTTCCCCTCCCGTCATAAATTTTAAAATCCAATAACTTGAAAACTAATTATCCAAAACTGGTTATCGACCAGTCAAAATGTTCAGAAATTTTTTCTTAATTTAAAAATGTAATAAAATATATACGTTAACATTTAAATTCCTTAAGTTCATACGGGTTTAACATATAAGGGATGGGGTTTTATTTTTTAAAAATATATTAAATTTGTCCCAAACTCATAACTATAAAATTATAAAATAAAATAACTTTAAAAAGTCTAATATCTTATAAGTTATTGATTGATCCATAGTTAACCAATCACCCAGTACAATAATCAGTCATAAATTACAATTAACTATTTTAAACAGTCACAACTAGGCAAAAGTTGTTCCGTGCGCAATAGCTCAACTGGGTCATTCCACAGGTGCTTGGTATTATACTCCACAACATGAATCATGATCAACAGAAAACCTAGTTCAACACTGATATTATATCTTCAATTCAAATATGCTTTATATTAACCATCATAATCAATAACTTTTTAATAGATAGAACAATAAATAAATATTACAACATGCTTGGCATAAGATTTTGCTGCCGATTTTTTGTTTTTTTAAGTGTAATCTTTATAATAATGTTATAGTTTAGTCCCTTAGTGATTCAGGCATTACGTCAAAAACGATACATATTAACAACATTATCGCAATTCATATTAACGCACAGATATATATAATAAACTAGATTGCTAACTGTATATACCACCAATAGAGAAGATTGAAGCAGCCACTTTCCGCCATCCTGGTGGGAATTAGAACCTTATCACGCGAGAATAATATATGTTTATAACAATCACATATATATATATATTATTGATATAATAATATATACAGATATATATTATATGCATTGATAACACACATAAATCCCACCAGAATGGCGGACCGTCGGCTTCAATTCTTATCGCTAGTTAGCAATCTAGTTGATTATACATATCTGTGTATTAACGTCTTTGAGTTTGAAATAAAGCATGACGAACACGGTTAGGTTATGTTTTCATAGTGATAAGTGATAAGTGATAAGAATGTTGATAATGATATCGCATTTGAAAGTGTTTAAAACTATTGTTTAATAGTCCTTTTATAAAAATTGAAATTTAATCGAATTTTCAAATTTAAATTGCGTGTTTAAGTATTGACATAATTATGTCTGATGACGAAGATGGCGTTCATCGGCTATCCGGTTGTAATCAGGCGGAAGGCGGCTTAGTTATAAAGAAGAAACCAGCACCTGCTGGCCAGTTTCAATTTAAAGTACCCGACATACCCAAGGGTTCGTTACTTGGACTTGATAAATTAGCAGGTAAATGTTATTAGTATTTAAGTTATGTTGAATTAAATTAGTTATGGGAAAATCTTAAATTCAGCACAAAAGCGTTTGGAGCGGGAAGATATTGAAAGGTCGAAAAAATCCATGTTGTCGTCCTATGGAGATAATGACGATGAAGGAGATGATGTTGAAGAGATACACTTGAAAGAAGGACAAAAAAATAAGAATAAAGACAGGTCAGTTAAGTAGTAAAAAATATAAAATTAAATTAAAATTTTTTTCTATTAAATTATCTGCTATGTTATATTATTATGTTTAGACATTATCGCTCTGTTCAAGAAGAAACCCCAACACACACAGGAGGTTTGTCTAAAGAGGCTATAGAAAAGTTAGAAAAACTAAAAAAGACCCACCATCGAGGTGTGCATTACTCTACTTCTAATGCAAAAGACCGAAGAGCTCATCGTTCCAAAGACAGAACACATTGTAAGTTCTGACCCATCCATTAATTAATTTAAAATTAACTTAGGTTAATTATTTTATTTTAGCTGATAGAAATGATAGGCGACATCATCGAAATGAGCCATATAGAAAACAGGATAGATATAGTCATCGTGATTACCGATCAAGTAGGACACCGTCAATAAGGCGAAGAGATGAACCATTAACACCTAACGTTAGAATGAGAGATACGCCATCAAGGTACGTGTATTATAATTTTATAAATGTGTTACCTACTTGTTTGTATAATAAATCAAACGAGTTATTTTTTTTATTGTTTGTAGAACGACTTGGGATGAAGACGACCGAATGTCGTTGTATAAAACATCTACGTGGGATATGCCTACTCCTAAAAGATATGTTGACGACGATCCTTCTAGAACTCCTAGGTTTACACCAGCATATAAATATAATAAATGGGATAGTCACCGTGCATCTGGTGCCACTCCTAGACCAGGAAAAGGTAAAATTGAATTATCACCATTTATTATTGTAAGACTATTGGCTAAAATTTGTATTTCTTTAATATTGGCAGAAAATGATTTGTTGTGGGCTAGCGAAACTGATCGCGATGAATGGGAAGAAGCCCAAAACAGATTGGATAGACAGTGGTATAATTTGGACGAAGGAGTTGATGAAACAAATAATCCGTTCAGTGATGTCAGCGAATCGTACGCTAAAAAAAAAGAACTACAATTAGCTCAAAGCAAGAAAAAACGAATGTCGGCACAACAAAGACAAATCAACAAGGTACTACTTTGAATTTTTCAATATTTACTATTATTTAATATGACACTTTTATTGTAGGATAATGAATTATGGGAACGTAATCGTATGTTAACTAGCGGTGTTGTAGTGTCTGTTGATCTGGATGAAGATTTCGACGAGGATAACGAGGCTAGAGTGCATCTGTTGGTGCATAATATTGTGCCACCATTTTTGGACGGTCGTATTGTATTTACTAAACAACCTGAGCCAGTTATACCGGTCAAAGATCCAACATCCGATATGGCCATGGTGGCTCGGAAAGGTTCAATGTTAGTCCGTACATTCCGCGAACAAAAGGAACGTAAACGAGCTCAAAAGAAACACTGGGAGGTAGCTGGCACTGCGATAGGAAATATAATGGGCGTAAAGAAAAAAGAAGATGATAAAGATGAACGGATTGATGAAGAGGGAGAGACAGACTACAAGACTGATCACCAATTTGCCGAACATATTAAAGATACACCAGAAGCCAGCAGTGAATTTTCTCGGAAAAAAACATACTCTGAACAACGGCAATATTTGCCAGTGTTTGCAGCCAGACAAGAGTTGTTAAACATAATTAGAGAAAATAATATTGTGATTGTTATTGGAGAAACTGGTAGTGGTAAAACTACTCAACTCACTCAATATCTTCACGAAGAAGGATATAGCAAGCGTGGTATGATTGGATGTACTCAACCGAGAAGAGTTGCAGCCATGTCAGTGGCTAAACGTGTTTCTGACGAAATGAACACTAAATTGGGCGATGAAATAGGTTATGCCATCCGTTTTGAAGATTGTACGTCCGAAGTTAGTACAATTAATTTCATTCAGTTTTTTTTTTTTTTTTAATTTTCCTTTAATTTCTTAACTGTTTTAGAAAACTGTAATAAAGTATATGACTGATGGTATTTTACTTCGAGAGTCATTGAGAGATCCAGATTTAGATAATTATAGTGCCGTCATAATGGATGAAGCGCACGAAAGATCGTTGAACACTGATGTACTTTTTGGACTTTTACGAGAGGTACTATACTAATAAATAAATTGTTTTGGTGTTATGTCAAACGAATTCTACAAATTTATTTGAAAAGCTATAATTTACAATTACGATTTTCAGGTGGTTACCAGACGTACAGATCTAAAATTAATTGTGACTTCAGCTACTATGGATGCTACTAAATTTTCACTGTTTTTTGGTAACGTACCAACTTTTAATATTTCAGGCCGCACTTTCCCCGTTGACGTAATGTATAGTAAAAATCCTTGTGAAGATTATGTTGAAGCTGCTGTAAAACAAGCATTACAAGTACATTTGCAACCTCATCAAGGTAAATTTTAGTGTTGGTGTTCAATCTTTGTGAAATGTCGTTTGAGTAATTCATAATATATTCGTCTTTAGGTGATATTTTAATATTTATGCCCGGACAAGAAGATATTGAAGTTACTTGTGAAACATTAGCAGAAAGGTTAAACGAAATAGCTGATGCTCCACAGCTGTTAGTGCTTCCCATATATTCTCAGTTGCCATCAGATTTACAGGCTAAAATTTTTCAAAAGTCATCGGATGGCCTAAGAAAATGTGTTGTAGCTACTAATATAGCCGAAACATCTTTAACGGGTATTTCATCTCGGCTTTAATTGGGATTTATTAACTATATTAGTGCTGTATAATATAATACTATTAAAATATATGTATTTCGATAATATAGTTGATGGTATACGGTTTGTCGTTGACACTGGCTATTGTAAGATGAAAGTATATAATCCTCGAATCGGTATGGACGCTTTACAAATATATCCCATAAGTCAAGCTAATGCCAACCAGCGAAGTGGTAGAGCCGGTCGTACAGGCCCTGGACAATGTTACAGGTACACAAATAGTAGAGATTGCATTTGATATTATTGTCAAAATTTAGGATTTATAAATGTTTACTTTATTTCCATACATTTCAAATATTCACATTATTATTATAGATTATACACTGAGAGACAATACAAAGATGAACTTTTAATGGGCACTGTTCCTGAAATTCAAAGAACCAACTTAGCAAATACTGTGTTGTTATTAAAATCGTTAGGAGTTCAAGATTTGCTCCAGTTTCACTTTATGGATCCACCTCCACAAGTATAATATTTCCGAATCGTCAATGTTAATTTGTGTACATTATGGTTTTTTATTTTTAGGACAATATTTTAAATTCTTTGTATCAATTATGGGTACTTGGTGCATTAGATAATACCGGAGAATTAACTTCACTTGGTCGTCAAATGGCTGAATTTCCACTTGATCCACCGCAGTGTAAAATGTTAATAGTGTCTTCCGCCATGAAATGTACAGCCGATGTGCTTATAATAGGTAATCAAGTCGCTAGCCATTTATTAACTCAAGTAGTGTTGAGGATGGGAGATCACAGGTCTTCAAGTATTAATATAATTGAACAAAATCAGATTCAAATAAATGCTTCAATGCAAAACTGTAAATGTACTTTATTAGCTTTTAAATTCAGAATAAACTACTGAAAATTTTGACTGGTCAATTGAAAAATTTACAATATTGTAGTAAAACCAAAAAAAAAAAAAAAAATTACTATATTTCCCAGAAATAATGTGAATTATGTCAAATTCATCACTGTATGTATATCTGATAAAAAGTTTAATATTACCAGGTATCAATATAAAATTTGATTAGAATAATTATTGTGTTTCTAATCTTGTTTTTAAGTTTTTCTTAATTAAAAAAGTTTCTTGATAAATTTGTTTATGTTATAACGCTATCTACTTTTAATTTTAATAGAAACACATCGTTGTAAAAACAGTTACTTCACAGATTCACATTAAAGCTAAAAATCAATTGTGGTTGAAATCCTATCTGAATAAATAAAAACAACTTTTATTTTGTTTTAGTATCTATGTTATCAGTCCCATCAATTTTTTATCGTCCAAAGGGACGTGAAGAGGACTCTGACAATGTCCGAGAGAAGTTTCAAGTGCCCGAATCCGATCATTTAACAATGTTGAATGTATACAACCAATGGAAACAGAACAAGTACGGTTTCCTATTACATTATGTTAAATTTAATTTTAATTTGGTTTGCATTCTATATAAATAATAATTCACAATGTATTTTTAGTTATTCTGCATCATGGTGTAATGAACATTTTATTCATATTAAAGCTATGCGTAAAGTCCGTGAAGTCCGACAACAACTTAAAGATATCATGGTACAACAAAAAATTGAAATTATATCTTGCGGTACAGATTGGGACATTATACGCAAATGTATATGCTCAGGTATAGTTTTGTCACTGTTTTTGCTTGTTTTAATTAATGTATTTTTATTGAATTTTTGAAATTAATTTTTTGTTTAGCCTATTTCCATCAAGCAGCTAGACTAAAAGGTATTGGTGAATATGTCAATTGCCGTACTGGTATGCCTTGTCATTTGCATCCAACATCGGCCCTGTTTGGCATGGGTTTTACTCCAGACTACGTTGTCTATCATGAACTCATTATGACATCAAAGGTAAACTATCAACAATATTTCATCTAGGATTACCGGTTGTGTCTATTTAATAAAGGTCAAAATATAGGCAATATTTTAGGAAAAGGTGTGTTTTAATAAATTTTGATCATATTAATTTATTTCCAGGTTAAATTAGTATAAGTTTCAGGATATTATTTGTAATGTATACTATTTATCTATGACTGATATCCATTTTGGTAGTGAAAAATGGCTTAACAAGAAATAAGATGATACATACAGTGATCTGCGTCGATCTTTGTTTTAATTACTAAAAATGTTTAAAAAACCTAATATTCAAACGCAAATACAACAACAAAATTACAGTTTTGAAAACCAGAGATCAATGTAGACTGTAGTCTTCCTCTTTTAAGCTAAATTGGAATTAACAAAAACATTTTCCCATAATGTCATCTTTTTAAGATAAAAGTGGGGGCGACAGGGCCCCATAACACTACTTTTTTAACGTAATATTTTCCATATAGGAATATATGCAAACTGTAACCGCTGTGGACGGACATTGGTTGGCTGAGCTGGGTCCTATGTTCTTTACTGTTAAAGAAACTGGCAAGTCAGGATCAGCAAAGAAACAGACTTTAGAAACGTTGCAGGAAATGGAAGGTTCAATGAGAATGGCTCAAGAAGAAATGAGAGCGCGAAAACTCGAAGAAGAGCGTAAACAACTTGCCAGCATTAGAAAGTAAGCTTAGTATACATTTTTTAAAAGTTTAAAATTATGTGTTGGCTATTGATCATAATCACACTTTGTGTAATCTTGTTGTAGGGTTGAAATTATTACACCAGGCAAACGAGAACCTGGAACTCCGTCATTACGCCGTAAACAAGGACAGTTAGGATTATAAATATGTACGTTTTGTGATTAAGTTTTTAATTCCATCTGACTTTTAATTGCAATTTTTAATCGAGATTAAGAATGAACGTTACATTCGGTTAACATTGCTACAAATATAAAATTTGAATACGTAGATATCATTGATTATAAATAATACTATTTATAATTTATATAATCAATGGTAAATATAAATTTATACTTAACAATTAAAATTAAATTCTAAATACTTCATTCAATGTAAGTTCCAAAAATTTGAATCAAGTTCAAGATGTATTTTTTTTAAAATTTAATTTATATTATGTTTATGTACAATTTGTTTATCAATATTTAAAAATAAATAATTATTTTAAAAAGTTTTACAACAATATGCTTAGCTTATATTCTTACCATACTATTTTATTGAGCCTCGAGAGCTATTTACTGTGGTTTGTTATCAAGGATAATTAACCGATTTAATTTTTTACACATTTAATAGTACTCAAATAGATAATTGCAAGTGATTGTTTTAAAATATAAATAAAATTAATACATTTTGGTTAAAACTTAAAGCCTAAAACTAAATATAGAACAATTTTAAAGAAACATTATTTATAAAAATGTATATTAATATACGGTATATATTATAATAAAATATCCCAGACAACATTAAGCTTATAGTTCCTAAAAGTGTGTTGCATCACCATAATACAATAATTATTATTTACATTTCGTACAAGTCTATTAAAGTTTTGCAATAGAAACAAATTTGAAGTTCAATTTTTCAATTCCCTAACTATAAGTATACAATGTTTGAATTTACAACAATCATATTGTACTTTTTTTAAATCACAGTACAGAACAATTTACTTCGTACACAACGGTCATAATATTTAATAAACATTCCTTTCATACAAAAATAAAAAGTAAATAATCTTTTTTTTAAACTAAAATGATTTATAAATAAAAAATAAATAATAGTTTTTAATAATTAATTGATATTAATAAGTAATATTAATCATGCAAGTCTAAAACTATTCAAATTATTGGTGTCAATTTTTGCAGTCCACATGTAACACAACAGTTCCAAAATATACTTAAGTACTTCTACTTTAAAATACAGTTTAATAATTACGTATCTGCATGAACGACACTGTGCTTTTTTAAATATTCTTGATTGAGAAATGATTTGCCACATTGATGACAAACGGCTGATGAAAAATTCAGACGGTCGTGTGTGGCATAATGTCGCCTTAGTGATGCCAACTTTAAAAATGACTTATTGCAGACAGTACACTCAAATGGCTTTACGCCTGAATGTATCATAACATGGTTTTTAAGATGAGATGTGCTTTTAAATCTCTTCAGGCAAATATCACAACGATGGGGTCTTGACTCTGTATGGGATGCTAAGTGTGCAATTAGGAAAGACTCTTGTATGAAAGTTTTATTGCATATGTCACATTGGTGTACTGAACGATGACTAGAATGCATTATGGCATGTTCTTGTAAATGCAATGCATGATTAAAGGTGGCACCGCACTCTTTGCACGAATACTTGGATTCGATTACGCTACCGCCGGTGTTGGTGCAGTTTCCGGAGGTCATGTGCTCGTTCAGTTGCTCAAATGAGTAAAAAGGTAAACCACACGACGGACATTGATTTTGCAACGCAATTTTCTGATCCTCTTTAGAATGCGTCAATGAGTGTTTTTTTAAGTTAGAAGAATCTGCAAATGCCAAACCGCACACATCGCAAGCAAATGGCCGACAACCGGTATGAGTGAGCATGTGTCTTTTGACGTCTGACGGCCGTGTAAATCCTTTGTTACAAATACGACAAGGGAAAGGTTTTCTTCCCGTGTGCGTAATCATGTGAGCTTTGAGATTACTCTGGTTGGTAAAAGTTGCTTCACATTTGGCACACGAAAAGGGCTTTTCTCTTGAATGAACTAGTTTATGTCTTTGTAGTTCGGATGGTTTGCTGAATGCTTTATCACACGACGGACAGGGGTACGGTAATCCTCCGTTGTGTATCATCGAATGGACTTTTAAATTGTAATTAGTGATGAACGACATTGAGCATACTTGACAAACAAAAGGTCGTTCTCCAGTATGCGTCATCATGTGGCGCTCCAAATCTGACGGGCGTCGAAAAGACTTGTCACATAACGTACACTGATGAGGTTTTGCTTTAGGATGAGACGTAAGATGGGTGCACAAATTACTTGAGTAATTGAAAGTCAAGTTGCAGATCTTGCATTGAAGAGGTCGTTCACTAGAGTGAACACTCGAATGCCGTTGTAAGCATGATGGCTTTAGAAAACTCTTATCACACTCTGTACAAGTGTAAACAGCACCGCCAGTATGTTTCATAATGTGGAGTTTTAGATCACTTTTGTTTGCTACAGATACACCGCATTGATCACAGACGAATGGTGGGTTTTCGGTGTGAACGTTCATATGGCGAAATAATCTATAGCTCGAAGGAAATTTCTTGTCGCACCTACAAACAAAGACAGTTTTAATACATAAATGATATTTTGAAAATAATAATAATCTGACTCGTACTTCTGACATGTATACAATTTCTGATTTCCATGCACCAACGAATGTTCTTTTAACGATTGATCATCTGAAAACACTAATCCACAAACTTCACAATGATGTAATTTTAAATTACGATGTACAACCAAATGTGCACTTAATACTGTAGGTTTATCAAATTTTTCTCCACAGACAGTACACAAAAACTTACAATTTTCAATAGAACTTTCTTCATGGGATAGCTCGTGAGATTTTAAATTATTAATATCTGCAAAACGTTTGCCACATTTTTGACATTGTAATTCGTCCATAGGATCAGGGCGCATAAGACTCTGACAGTTTTCGACTGCTTCATTGGCCATATTAAGTGCAATGGCATTCTTCTCTTCGGCAATATAAATTGCTGTTGCTTGATCGGTGTGTTCCGATAAATCCACATTTTCAATTTTTAAATTATTTATTTGGATTTGTCCAGACACATTTATTGTTTCTTGACCATTTATTATTTTTGCTAAGCTTTCAACAGTCAGAGTACTAACTTCTTCCTGGTCCAACAACAAATGTGCCAAATCCTATAACCAAATTTAAAAAAATGTATAATTATAATGATCGTTAATGAATTTTTTATAAAAAAATATTTTTTTGAAAGTTGTAAAAATATCATGTAGAATTATTTTCAAATAACAGATAATAAAATGAAGTATTAAACTAAAATTAAGATTGTATGTAATATTCAGTTGATGTTCTTTACAGGTGAAATTAGTTCTTTTTATTTAACCTTGATGATATGAACAATTTAACACATATCATTTTTTATTTATACAAACAATATTATCTAATCTAATTATATGATCATTCTTGTCAGGATTCCATACTTATCTCGGACTTATTAGGTAAAACTGAAGTCAGATTTAAGAAATTTAAGAAATCTTAAACCTTACTAAATTACAATAATTTGATGGTCTTTAATATGAAGCAGATAAATAACAGTTAGCTAATTGATATATTTTCATTTCTTTATGAGCAAATACTGTACAATATATCTCTCAATGAGTAAGAGGAATTACCTATTTTAATGAAATTAAATTCTAATTTCAATTTTTTTGTAATATAAATTTTAGAGTTCTTACCCCATTAAGTCCTTGAACAAAAATTCCATATCCAATATTTTCATGTACTCTATAGAAAATAATATTTAAATACACACAATTCATCAATCAAATCAAATCAATACTTATTGAGTAAAATAATATTAAATATTATTTCAATATAGTTTTTAATAACAAAACTATAAATTACCTTCGATCTTCTGTATTGTCAATAATATTGGCTCCTTGTACAGTCACTAAACGTTTTTCACCAGATTTTTCAGTCACCACTATTTCGACACTGCCGTTCATGTCTGAAGTAAAAATATAACAATAACACTACATAAGTATAACAAATTGTGATAGACAATATAATAACACATTTGGTTAACTACACAGTTAATTTTTTAAAAATGTTTAAATTGATATAGCCAGTTTTAAAATTTGATTGTTTTATGAAAGCATTAACACATGAATTAAAGATAGCAATTTGAACTTGTAACAATAATGGAGTATTGCCAATCATCCATAAAAAAATGCTCAAGGAAACTGATATATTTATTTTTATATTTTACGATAAAATTAATTTATTGACTTTATTGACTATTTATTTATAAGTAGTAGAATTAAATATGATTTTAAAATAGCATTAGATTTACAAAATAGTTAAGTAATACCTATATTACAATTAACATCTCTTTTGTCTAAATTTTGAGAACTTTAACATAATTACCTAGGCATCATAATACAATTAAAAAATCAAATCGGAATTAATAAAAAAAAAATATCAAATGAATTTGTTATATTTTGTGTGCAACTACAATACTTAGCGAACTAATAAATACAAAACATTTCACAAAACTGTTTAAAATGTATAGTAACTTACTTATATATAGTTGGATTCTCAATATAGTATCACTTGAATTTGTCGCTTTATTTCTAAAATTAAGAAAAAACCGATTGATACCTTTTGCGAAAGTACCATACAAAAAATCATTGAACAATCATGAATTTTTGATAATTGAGTTTAAGAAGAAATTCAAATATTTGTGAGTGGAGAAAATTGCACTGTGCAAATTAAACCAAATTTTAGTAAAATAATAATTGTTATACTTAGTTATTACTAAAATAGTTACTACTTGGATGGAAATGAATTACAATATTACATAAAATTCATAATAGCTAATGCAAATGCAGTAAAATAAAATATGATAATGTTTTTCGACATTTGTGAGCAAAATTGAGATAATATTAAACAAAACATTACTATTTTTTGTTACCAAATTGCCGAAAACGTAAAGTGTTTACACTACAGATCTATGGACACATACAGTGAAACACCAGTAAATCATGAAGTTTTCGGTTGGCGGTACTGACCTCTCAACTTCTTATCAAATTTTCAAGTATACAATTTAATGAAAATATACCAGTTACTAATTACTATGTGTTTAGAATTATGACATCTATACTACAGTACGTATGATCACGATTTAGGGGGGTTATGACATGTTATGCCTGAATCGTTGCTAGTATTTATCCGAGAGCTTAAAGGAATTCATAAAAATGTACTAATCAATTTTTTTTTTATAGTGTTGCCGTGTTGAAAACAATAATAAATAATAATAATGTTTATTCACTACTGTGAATAAACATGACGATTTTTAATAGAAACAATGGATGAAAAAAATGTGTATGGCTCGTTGTATTGCATTGTTGGGCAAAATTCAAAATTTTGAAATGTCTAACCCTTAAGGATTAAAAATTACCGTAACTTTCACGACCAGCTTAAGAGCGATTATTATTGTTACTTGTAATTTTAATAATTTTATTGAGTTAAGAGTTAACTTTATCCACATGTAGGGTGGTAATGATATAAAAATGACACAAATTAAAAATCTTATTTTTCCGAAGTATTAAAAATTAATTATTGAACTATTAATTAATAGTAAGGGATGTCTAGTTAAATAAAAATAATTTAATTTAAAAAAAAAGTAGATTTTACTTTTATCACATCAAGTGAATTTAACAAATCATTACCAAGTCAACATATAAAGTGCATTATTACGAGTTGCACGGCAAAATAGACGTTGTCCACACCCACATTACTTGGGGGAGCATTACAAATTAGTTTGTGCATACAAAAGGATAATAGGTAGATATGTTTAAAAAATATATGGATTGGTAGTTTATGTATTTTAAATTACTTCGTAAAGGAGTTATAATTATTTATTTAGTTTAAATGTACAAACTTATGTTATATAAACATATAATTTATGTAATGTATATAATATTGAAATAATTTATTTGCCCCTAAATTTATTATTCTGACCACCTCTTTGCTGTCCGCCTCCTCGTCCACCTCCTCTTCCTCCAAAACCTAAATAGTTTCAAAAATATTACAATTAGTCATTGAAAATGTAATTTTTTTTTTGAAAATGTATAATATATTAATAATTTGTTTGCTATAAAGTATTATTTCTAGTTTCATAGTTCATACCTTGTCTAGCACCTCCTCGACCTCGGTTTTTCTGATTGTCAGTACGGCCACGTGCTTTATTTACCACTATATCTTCTTTAACCATATCAAATATTTCATCAGGTATTCTAAGATATTTAATCATACTACCTCGAATGTAGCATTCAGGTAGTCGCCAAAATCTATCTCCATCCTAAAATTATTGTTCATATTAGTAATATGATACCAGATACAATCATCAAATAATACAAGGATCAGTATTCCGTAATATTGTGGTCATAAGTGACAGCAGCTAACTTTTATTTCTGTGTGATAAATGTAATGAGAATAAGGACCTGCATACCTACAAATAACCATCTATTTATAATTTAAGAATAATTTTTAATAACCTAGATACCCAAGAAATCAAAACTTAAGTAGATTTACATAAGCACTACTGCGTAATTTAAGAAATAGTATTGAAATAAAATCATAAGTATAGCAAACTGTAATAAAACCTATCAAGTCAAAATAGGAACTTCATAGACGCAAATAGCTTAAAAAACATCTGGAGACTTAATGTTTCTTCTTATATTAACAAAATTAAAATAACATTAAAATATTTGACAAAAATACAGTTTATGTTGACAATTTAAAGGAAGTTTTACTTTTAGATAAATGCTTAACTTAAATTATTTATCTGCTAATTATTGTTAAACTAATTAAAGGAACACGGTTCATACTTTAGACGTGCAAATAACTTCCCGTAGATTGATGTTCATCCAGCTATCACAAGTTACTAAATGTCCGTTGTATGTTTCACCATTTTTTAACTCTACAAGCTAACACAAAATCAACATTTAAAATACAAATATATTAGTGTACAAAATTATTGCATCACAAATTTAAAAATTACAATTTTAATCAAATTATGTTATCATTTAAACTTACCATGGGATGGTTCTGGGCAGTTTTCAATAACGATAAAGGTAGCTATAAAAAATAATTCACATTACGTTCAGAGTTGATTAAATATAGTTAAAATTAATTTGAAAATTTTTACCATCTTTTAGGAATACAGCAATGATCCTAAGCTAAGAATAAATAATAACAAATTGTCCGTTAATGTAATTATTACGTACAGAAGAATGATTTACAAATCCTAAATGTATTACTAATCTAAAGTATACAGTGTAATACGTATAAAAGTTGTATATTATTCGAATCGAAATAACGATAATAATTAACGAAACTTATTATTTGACTTAACAGTGCGCAACGAAAAATACTAAACCGGATAAACAAAATGATAATAGTTTTGATAATTGACAAGAATAGTCATGGAAAAAATTATTCATTGTAACTGTAATCCGTAGAAGAAATAGTTATATTTGATACCATAGATTAGATAAGTACCGGTAAAACCAGGTTACTTTAAGGGTAATTTGGGACATGAGTAAAACAATATATATTAAGAATATATAGTGTTTTACCTAAGTCCCAAATTACCCTTAAAGTCCCAAGTAACCCGGTGTTACGGTAACTTAGTACCGTTTTATATCGTAAAGCCCGCCAAAACGGGTAGCCGCACTCATATAAAATATTATTTTCACTTGTATTAAAATTAAGATTTATGAACTATTATCTTTATTTTAATGTAAGAGTTGTTGGATTTACATAATACAAATTGATTTAGAACATAACTGGAAACAAGGAGAAAATAAAATTGTTCTTTATGAAGTAGAAGTACTAAGTACTAGCTACTGGTTATTAAATAAAACAAGTTAGTAAACATGCGACGCTTGCTTACATTTTTTCTGTTTTTAAATTTGCAATATGATGTATACGAATTGTAAGATAACATTTGCAAATCAATGTAACTAATTTAAGCTTATGGTTTTTAAAAAACTATGATCGTCACAATTAAATATTTTAAATGTATTTGAGTTAAATACATAGTTTTTCGCACCGATTATAATTTCAGAGCTCAAACTAGACTATTATAGTGAAGTTCTGAGTAAACTCTATTGAAGAAATTAAAAAAAAATTAACAATTTTTAGAACATTAACGGAATTTTTAATTAATCTTCCTCTACTTTTTACATATAAAAGTATGGTAGAAACTAGAATTATGCTTATAGCAATATCTATGTTTAGTTGGGACTTCTAAAAGACGTTTTAGCACATATGTTACACAATTAATTTTTTTAAATATACTTAAAAAAAAACCATAAATGTAATAATTAAATGTGCTAGCATAATAAAAATAAAAGAGAAATATTAGAAGAACTTCCTAACCAATTACAAATGTGTTCCGTGGAGTTTATGAAAAAGGTGTACCTAACATTCATATCAGCGAGTTTCAACAAGTATTCTATTTATTTATTTATTGAGCTTACGCCAAAGGCTCAAGTACAGTAATTAAATTAATTATAGTGATAACTTAAATTACAAGATAGAAAAGAGAACATACATTATTACAGCATAAAAATAAACAATCAAACTTATACTAACAAGAAAAAATTAGAATGTAAAGTGTTTTATAGCAAAATTAATAATTTTCAAATAACAGTTATTATTTTAAGAAGTTTTTCAGTAATGCCGGACTATCGGGTTTAAAAAAATCAAAAGAAGTCAATTTGTTACTCTCAATAGCCATTCTATTTAGAGGAGTATTAAAGCCGAAAGTAGTTCTATGAGACGATATTGAAAAAGTTGGACAGGAACGGGAAAAGTTTTGGGGAACATGCATTGAGACGAGACTTGTAAGTTCTGGACAAGAGATGAGACCATTTAATAGCTTGTACATATAGTATACATCAAAGTACCGCCGTCTTAAAGTTAGGGAATCTAAGTTAAAGCTAAATTGATGAGTGTTAGGTACAACGTTACTGTTATTATTAAATTGTATTGTTTTGAATGATAAGTAGCGCAAAAATCTACGTTGAACCCGCTCTAGCAGTTCTATCGAACCTACTTGTGAGGTATTCCAAATGATACTCCCATATTAATGGTAAAATTTTACTTTTTTGTTGTTCCATATCATTTAAGTAAAGTGGTTTTTTAAACTCTTTGTTGAAGGGATTACGATAATTCAGACAATGAAAACAGCTGTTCAATTACACGTATGAAGACAGTTTCATCTCTTATTATGAAAAATATACAACTTTTTATGCCAATAAAAATATTAATAATTGTTCATTATATTATATACAGTTTTTAAATTCAGGAACATTATGCTAATTGCTTATTGACATACATATGTGTTAATTGTACAAATATTTTTACATAGCAATAATAAAATAGGTTTACCCAAGGTACGTCCAACACACATAACACACAAAACTACTTTCGTCTCATAGAACTACTTTCGGCTTTAATACTCCTCTAAATAGAATGGCTATTGAGAGTTATACAATTATTGGGTTTGACACGTTAAATGTTTGTTCTCACCTTATGGTGAAGTTGGTACTGACTACCATCGCACCTCTATACATAAATTGACATTGTACAGACATTGTTTTTTATTTATTGTGTTTTTTTTACTGAGTTTAGCGATATAGAAACACTATTTTATTGTTATTTCTATTTTGTAGTCTGGCAATTTATTCCTCATCATATGAATTTTGTTTTTTATCGAAATAATAACTTAACAATATTTTTTTTTCATTTTAAATATGTTTTTTCCACACTCGGATGCCAACGTTACGGAAGTCTCGCCCGAGGATGGTTCGGTGGCGAACATGGACATCCACAACGATCGGACGGCAGGATCCGTGATGGCCAACGTGGCGGCCGCCGCCAACAACGACATGACAACGCCACCACTCGTCGACATGATAGAGGCACCTGCAGCCGGGCCGCTGTCGTCTGCAGCCCCGGCGGCCTTGTTGACCAGTGACGACATGACGCCCGACAACTTCCAAAGTGCCAACAACAGCGATTGCAGCAGCCCCTCGGCGATGTCCGGCGACCAGCCGATGTGGTTGGAGCCCGAGCTCAACGACGCGGCGTGCCTGTTCGTCGTCCAGTGTTCACAGGAGGGGGACGACTGGGCCCTGGCCACTTGTCTGATGGCCCTCGCATTGACATTTATTGGGGACGGCGTGTTCTTATCGCTGTTCTTGTTCGACTCGCGCTTCGGCATTGCCGACAGGGTTCCGCCCGGCACGCGCACCCTGGAACACATGGCCATATACGCGCTGTTCTTCTATGCCATCGGTAAATCAATTTGCTTATATAATACCATTGAGTACACTCAATGTTAATACCTATATATATATACATTTTCGTTCCCCGTTAAAAAAAAGAACCACTTTAGGAGCTCATAAGTATTCCAAAATAACAAACAAAAAATACTTGTACAAGATTATTATTTTGCAATGAACACGAGGGGGGATACGTATGAAAATGAAAACAGCTATGGATACGTCTAGTTGAAAATAATAACAATAACAATTTGTGGCCACCCATAAAATACTTTTTACTCGGTTAACGACTAATGGATAATGTTTTATACGTTTCACAAACTAATGACTTTTTCTACCGAATTACTGTCTAATAAAACATCAGTTATTCATTGAAACTCGGTCATTATGAAATCGAAAAAATTAAATATAAATTTAATATTACTAATTTTTAAAAACAATTTTTCACTTAACTTACCTGGAATATACCCTTAAAAGTAATACGTAAAATTGGCTCGAACACGGCAAAAGAAAAAAGCCCAAATTTTAATTAAGTGAACTCAACGTAATGTTAGGTAATGAGGCGGCAAAATAGAAAAATTTTACAATTTATTTTTTGCTGGTATAATTAAATTTTTTTCTGTCCTGAACATTAAAAGATATTTGGGATGATTTAAAATAAAGATGTTTTTTAGGCAACTTATGAAGGCTTTCTCTTCTTCTTCTGCTAAAGACCTTGCTTTATCGTTGCAGGAGAGTTGCTAACCTGGGGAAGTGGGTATGGTGCGGTGGTTTTCCTGTTGCCGTAGGACAATTATTTTCCATCGTTATGTGTAATCATAACTATAATAGTATCCAACTCCAAACGTTTTGGATGGTGAATAATTTCACATAAGAAGGTTTTTCACCGGCGAGGAGTGTCTCAAAACATAACCGGAGAGACAATTATAATTAGACCCAATCCGTCTTGACACTATTATTATATCGTTTCAACACTAATAGCGTGTCCAACTTTAATTAACGTACCTTCAAGTGGACACATTTTTTACGGGTTTCTTATGTTGTTTCAACTTTAGGGCCGTTTGCATGTGCCTTAGTCAACCGACATGGCTTTAGAACAATGATGTTTTTGGGAAGTATGTTGACAATAGCTTGGTCGGCGTGTCTGTGGTCGGTCAACGAAGTGTTCGTCGACAATAGAGGATTATTTTTGGCCGTCGTCGGCGGTAAATATAAAAATTATACTTATACTATTTTTTTTTATACGACCTGTTAGGTCGGTTGGGCAACTCTATTTGAGACAAGAGTTGCTATACTGGGGAAGTGGTTATATGGTGCGGTGGTTTCCGTTGCCTTCCGCACCAGTCAGGTGGCCATGTCTCTCCAGACGGTTGCCCGCTCAGCTAAAGAAACAGCCAGCGACGAGATTCGAACCACGGCTAGTGCGTAGAAACACTGCCGCGGTAACCCCTCGGCCACGACCCCCGACTACTATTTACAGTGTATATTATTTGGGATTCCACAGACCACACATATATATATATATATACCACGGGCTTAGAAACTTGATGTAAATCGAATAGTATTTGTACAATAGATAGCACCTTTCGACTACAAACTTAAAAATATATTATTGTATCGTTGGTAAAATATTGTCCACAAGGCACCTTTTGTTTCTCTTTTTCATTGACTATCAAAAAGGGTTATCTACGTCTCAGGATTATCCAACTAAACAGATTATCGGGGCACATAGAACTTATAGTTTCTCTGTATCTTCCTAATTAATATGACAATTAAAATAATTTTAATTAAAAATTGTGCATTCCCTGACAAACCATTTTATAAAATAAAACCATTTTTCAAAAAAACTACTTTAGAACCTTTAATTTCCAAACCCGCGATACATGGGTTCGACGCGGTTATTTCGGATGATTAATTTAAAAATCTAAATGTAAAAAAAAAATTAAAAGCGTGCGCTTCTGTGGGCCGCGGCGGATCGATTCGGTAGTCGAACAATATTGTACAGATTGTTTCGGTGATTTTATCCACTTATCATTGTCTTAACATCCACCGCGGCCCCGGTATAGTTGAAAGGGTTGTGTGAGACAAAACAATTCTCCGTGATTATATTTTAGTAACGTTCACCTTACATATTTGGTTTCTATTATAAAAAAATAAAGGGACAGGCGCGGGCCTGATGCGAACGTCGTTTACCATCCTGTTGTCGTTGCTGTACAACCTATCCCGTCAAAAAGTTCATTTGTGCATGGACCTGGGCGGTTTCAGTGGCATGATGATAGTGGCGCCGTTAACGGAGTACTCCATTCTCTTATTCAAATGGAAGACAGCCTTGATGATCAATATGAGTAAATACGACCCCGGGAAATTAATTGCTACTTTGTTTGGCTAGCCGTTGAGTCAGACAGACTCTGCAATAATGCAACCGTGGTGGGCAGCCAGAATAGTTTCACCCGAACGTTACAATATAAAACCCTCTCTTCCTTGGCACTAGTACTTTGTTCGCTTGAAGTTCGCCAGTGTCTCAATGATCGAGTCAAGTTATGACTTGGCAACTACCCGAGTAAAAATGTGATTCAGGTTTCCCTTATCTCGATCAGATGCGTATTTGGTATAGTCAAGGTTCCCTCATCTAAGGTTGCTATAGTCTTACTTCAAATCGGGTTATTAGGATCGAGTTATGGTCCAATTTTCACTAAAATTTTCATTCGGGAACTGAAGAGTGCAAATTCGATTGGATGTGCTTGTTTATATGTAGGAATTGATACCGCTCATAATACATGAATGCAGAGGAACTGCAACTGGGCATAGCCTCGTCTGTCTGTATCACGCATTCCATTTTTTCAATACGTCTTGGCTACGACGCTCGAGTCGGAGCATCTAATAGCCTTTTAGGTTCCTATGATTTGGCGATGAGTATAATTTTATGATCTCCACATTTATGTGCCATACCACCACAGTGTTGACGATGTCCACGTTTTTATTTTGGATATTTATCGCCACACCAGTGCCACAGAAAATCGAAGTGGTCGCTGACAAACCTAAAGTCATTGTGGAACATCCCGTGCAGAGAAAAGCCGCGGCCGTCGCAAAGAACGCGCAATCGTTGGAGAAAAACCATTATTTTCCTACCGTTTGGAACACCGTTGGCAATCGAAAGTAAGTCGATAAGGAGCCGAATTTGTACCGGCAGCCATTCCCGATAATTGTTTTGTATATAAATTTAATGGCATGTTTATCCCGGTTTTATTTTTCACAGGTTGCGTGTAGTGCCTTTTACGGCCGACACCCCAGTGCTAAGTCGAATAGACAACCTCAGGTCAATCGGCTTGCTCCGTCTGGGAAGGCTATACACGGTAAGGGAGCCCGAAATGTACGTCCGCAACTTGAACGGCTGCTTCGGACCTACTTTAGTGGGTAGTAGACCCATGTACAGAGACGACGTACTTTACACCGGCAATATATTTAACTTGCTCAACGAAAATTTAAAGGTACACTTAAAAATACAATCTAATATCAGGCGTGCTCGTCGAGTGTACATATCAAACGGCGTTGACAGGGCAGAGAACACTTGTATCCGTTGCTCATGACAAGAGTAATGACCGTATCCGACGTAAAGGACGAACTTAACGGGTGGACCAAATTGTGCCCGACGTCCGTGAGGCGAACCTTTAACTCTATTATGAATCCTAACATTTGGGGAACTGTTCCCTTTATATTGTTTGCCGCTAGCGAATTTTTAGTTCACGCCGCTTGTTTCCTGCCGCTCATGTTCATCAAAGGTGATAGACCCAACATATTATGTACTATACTATTCCATTGCTATCGTAACCTTACACAGTCAATTTATTGTGCAGAGCTGTAGAGCACGTTGTCCCATTTAACTCCGTTCATCAATAATTACCACGAACCGTGTGCAATACAATGCATATCTTTCATAGCCTGCACAAATGCTGACATATTTTTTCAGAGGAAAGCCATAACTTATAACCCGGTTTACAAGGTTCACTCTGGATAATTATTTCGGACTTCATCAATAAAAAATGAACCACGTACATATCGATCATCACTCGGAGTAAACGATTCACAAAATCAGGTCAGGTCCAACTTTGGACGATTCGTCCGAATTGATCTCATACAGAGTGAATCGTGTAAGCCCGGCAAGAATAATTAGACATGACCCTGACTGTGCTTTTCTGTACTTAAACGTATTGTTGACCAGGTCCACCTGGTATGATGAAATCATCTTGGGAAGCCGTGATCACGTTGATCGCTGGGTGTTATGGAATGCTGACTGGTCGAGGCTTGGGGTTCGTATTACACGAGACCACAGCAACTGCTGTACCCATATACACCGTGAGCATAGTTCTGATAGCAAACGGTCTGTCGCTCTTTCTGTCCGCCACGGCCGACTTGGCTAGGATCTTGCCTTATTTCGCCATATACGGCATATTTTTCGGTACAGTACATGGATTTGTTATCACACTAATCGTTCACGACCTTTGTAGCAGTGTATATGTATTATATAATGCTCACGGGTGCTCGGTTAACATATAATAGGGCCAAGTGAACATTTTATTGTTTATCAACCAGGCGCAATTAAGAAAGAGCGGGAAATTTAATTTAAATTAATTAAATTATTCAAATATTATCTTGCGAGCTAGCCGAAATGGCGTTTTGACGATAATATAAAAACATTGACTTATTTACTCGGGTGAATAAATTAGTAAAAAATTACATCGTCAATCACCGCACTTGTAAAGAATTTGATAGCAACAATAGGCTTGTGTATAATAAGTAATAACACATGAATATCGATATAGTTATCGTAAACTCTATTTTTGCTTGTCCAATATAAAATAATATATTAACGTTATTGAATTATTTTTCATTTTACAATTCAAACAATTCACTTTGTATAAATTAACAAAATACAAAAATTCCAACATTACTTTAGCACGAAATAGACCCGAATTTTCTAAATAGAAGAATACCAGCACTTATTATTTTATAGAAAGTATTTAATAAATGTTTAGCCAATGACACATTAAGGGGGCCGTAGCATGGTTTTTACAAAAAAATATTAAGTGTAGATATCAAAAAAATAAAAACGCCACTCCATTGATAAAGTTTTTCTTTATACATAGTGAGAATTTGGTAAATCTACCCCTTAAGGGGGGTCGGAGCACAACTAGTTTTCATGCGTTTTAGGCCAATAAGCGGTGCTAAATTAGACATACTTCCCAATGATGGATTTTAATTTTTTAAATAAGTATGCATTTGTTTACAAATTTTCTAGGTTTCTAAGGAAGACGATTTTCAATTTTTCTTTTTTGAAGACCTCCAAAATTATTTTTGACTATTTTTAAAAATTCAGTGATAGTTCTCGAATTACATTTGAATTTATTTTAGGCATACCAAATTTTAAATCGAAAATCGGCTCTCTAAGAAACCTAGACAGTTTAAAATTTATATTTTTTTAAAATTTACATTCCAGGTTATTATAATTCGGTGCAAATCGCATTGGTGTACAACGTGTTCCCCGTGCACCTGTTCAACAACGTATTCGGATACATTTACTTGGTCCGGGCACTAGGCTCGTGCTTTGGAATCCTTATAGCAGGTATTTCGTTTGAAAAAAAATATATAATAATACGAGTATATTATAGTATTTAGGTATAAAATGTTTTATTTTGTTTAAATTTCGTCCGCGGCATCCGACCTAGTGCACCAAATATAGTAATAAAATATACAAATGAAACATTATTATTATTACTTATTTATTATCTGATGTCAATTTTTGCTTGCTCTAGGCACACTCCAATTAGTTATAGGTCTATGATAGTAATTATACCAGTTAGCGCGTTTTTTGAAAAATTAATACACGCAATTTTTACAGAAAATCTATTAATCCCACTAGTGTATTTTGCCATTGAATTATTATTAAAAAAAAAGGTAAATAAATCAAAATGACTTGGAACTTGCGGCCTGGAAAGTGTCAAGAACTTTTCTGGGGAAGGATTATGTATGTCGTAGTAAATATGTCGATTAAATGAATATTCATGCGCGTCACTTCATGAATTTAGAACTACCCTCCCTATAACGCTACTAATTTTTTGAGAAAATTGCAATTTTTTAGATTTTTCTCTTTATATACTTTATAAGACCTGCCTTTGTGCTAAATTTACGTTTATACCTATACAGGAAGTGCCTTATGATTTTGATGATGAATGAGTGAGTAGGTCAGTAACAAAAATGCAAACTTTTAAAATCTCCCCTTTTGAAAATACTTAATATTAAGGCTTCAATTTTCTGCAGTATTCTAAGCTATTTAAGCTTAATTTATGTTTCAAATTTCAAAAGCTCATAATATGAGGAAACAGAGATATTATGAGGGTTAGAAAAACCGGATGAATTGGTTCATGAAACAATACACTACCATTGCTAGAATTTGGTCGGCGCGGCGCACTGCCGACTGCTGTGCGCCTCAGATATTATAATATTAACTTTTTAAACTAAGAATAATGTTCTAAAACTGGTCGATAACCAGTTTTGAATAATTTTAAGTTATTTAAGTATTAAAAAGTTGTAAAATCCTCGGATGTTGTCCAACAAGTAGGTAGTTAAGGGTAAATCGAAGAAGAAATTTGTAGATGTTATAGGTAAACTACATATCACCTTCCCTCCAGTGTTAAAAACAAATTATTCAAAACTGGTTATTGACTTTTTTAAATAAATTATTGTTAATTAAAAAAAAATATAAAATATAAACTTAAACCCCATAGAGTCTCCTCCCGTAAAGTGACCTAGTCGTTGGTTAACACTGTTATTATAAATACATTTTACAGTGAAGATCCAAGAGGACTGCCAGCAGAGCAATGAAAACGTTTACATGTATGCCGGTATGCTAATGTTCACGGCCGGCATTTGCGTGGGTTTTTTGCAAGCCGCTGTCAACTGCAAGACAATGGCCGATAGGGAATCTTCGAGCACGTTGTATAACCGATACCCGGACGCTGTGTACCCCACAAGTATTGTGACCAAGGTTACGGCTTGTCCGCCAATTTTAATCACGTGAAAACCCCAATTTTCAGCCCCTTAAATCGCTGCAGATTACGTATATATTTTTTTATGTATAATATTGTTGTTTTTACATGCTTTTCTTTAGCTCGCTAACACGTACGTACGCACGTTTGTACGGGTATTTTTCAAATCTTTCAAAATTAATTAAACCCACTTCCCGATGTCGTAAAGGGCTGAAGCTTGGCACAGACACTCATCTCGGATGACAATACAATTTTCCGTCAAAATATTGGGACCCAGACATCCAGGTGGCAAATGCCGGGGGGTCAAATATGGGGGTTATTTCACTAAAATTTCATTTTTTTTTTCAAATCTTCTAAAATGAATTTAGTAATCTAATCACCAATTATTAAGTACCTTTAATAGGACTAAAAAGTAAAAAATAAAATAAATAATTAAAAAAAAACTTTTTTAAAAACATGCTTTTATAAAAAAATAGTAAAAGTGAAGTAAAAAATAATTTTATTACAAGAACAATTTACTAATCAATTGTAGCACATTTAATTTAAAATGTCATTTACTTTGAAAACAACCGAAAATGAACTACAATTTTAAATAATGTTAAACATCTTTAATTTTTGACTAAAGAGAAAAGCGTGGGTACTATTCAACAAAGTCCAAATTCATTGAGTTAAGTATAATGAAATGTATGTGTCACACTCTAATATTAAACCAAATTTAAATTACAAAAAAACTTACAATTTAAAATGTTATCTGATAAATTTATGAGGGACTTTGTTGAACAGGGCCCACGCTTTTCTCTTTTGTCAAAAATTAAAGATGTTTAACATTATTTAAAATTGTAGTTAATTTTCGGTTGTTTTCAAAGTAATTGACATTTGAAATTAAATGTGCTACAATTAATTGTAAATTGTTCTTGTAATAAAATTATTATTTACTTTTTACTATATTTTATAAAAGCGTGTTTTTAAAAGAGTTTTTTTTAAATTATTTTTTATATTTCATGTTCATATATTTTTGATAATTAACACTTTCGTTCCTGGGATTTTTTTTTTTCGAAAAAAAAAAATCAACAATTTTTTTACGTATCGGACTGTTATTGATTATCAATATAGCTGTGTCGATTTTTTATCATCAATCTATACTAGAACTTGTGTTTAAAGACATTTTTGAGAATGATAGTACGTTGTTAATATTTTATTCGATTTTTAAAGTTAAATCCTCGTACGAGGATGTCAGTAACGAAAGGGGTTAATTGCCGAAATTGAATATTTATCCATTTTTAATATTTATAAATTAACTGTTGTATTGTGATCTTTAAAAATCATATTATAATACATTTATAATTTTGTTGTTATTGTAACATTGATATTTTTCTTATCTTAAGTATACGCATGTATAAACGGTGTCTGACTGCGATAATCGACAATATATTATACAATATCAAGGTATAATACAATTTTTAAAAAATAATAATATAATATATTTAAAAACTACAGTTGACATCTTAAACCAGTCACTTTTTACATAGTTAACAAATACATGGCGTTAGTTAGTTGGTCTGTTATCAAAATATATAAAAATCCCAATAAAACATATTAAGACTTCTTTGACACGCATGTCCACATCGTGGTGCTTTTAATCTTAAGTTTAAAATTTCACCATTGTTTATTTTTTTTTTATTTGAGTTTGGTTTTAAATATTATGTATCAGTTCAAAAAAAAAAATAGGCCTACAACCCTAAAAGTTAGTATTATTATATAGTCAACAATTGTATTTATTTTTTACTTCAAATTAATAACTTATGACATTAATTTAAAAAAAAATTAGTAGATAAATAATTATATACCTACGTAATACGTGTATTTTAAATAGGGTATTTCAATAATTCAGTGTAACAAATTATTATTAACTTAACGAAAAAATTAAACAAGTAAATATAAAGTACTACTATGCATCAGAATCTACTTTTCTTATTTCCATTTCTAATTCTTCCGGGGTTCTTAAATCAATGGCGAACCGAGATTTAGACGATCCTGTGTTCCGTACTTTCCTACTGTATGCCTATAAACATACGTGAAGCATTATTATTAAGCATGATTTAAGAGTAATATTCATAAGGTTGTAAAAGATTTATACTTGAAAGGCTGCAGCCAGTGCATAGGTTAAGTTTCTCGCAACATTTCGACTTTCGCAAACAAACGCAACACAATCGAATGGTTTTCTGTCTGCAGACATCGAATCTTTTACAACTATCATACAGAACACTCGAGTATACACCAAGTCCTAAATGGAACGACATAATACAATCTCTTATATCGTGACAGCGGTAATTGCTCGTTAATAAAATATGTTATTTTTAATCTAAATGGTCTGGTGTTTAATAATTCAAAGTTAAAACTCACTTGAACTCCATATGAAACCGTGTGAATTGGATAGAATGTTTTCGATTTTTCGCCAATGATTTCACATCCCTCTTGTGATATTCTCAGTTCAACTTGAGGCGGCAAAGGTGTTATTGAGGTTTTAGCATTTGCGACCATTAGGTCGACTGGCTTCCGCGTGTGTTTAATGCCCCATAGGCCTCTCGCTTCGGTAGAACCGAGCTCTCTGACCGAAAACGATTGAGGTAGACTTTGATGGCGAATGTCTTCGTTCATTATTATTATCTTAAACTCGAATAGGCCAAAAATAATTAATAGGTATCGAAAAAAACAGATAATCTGAAGTGTTTTAAATGTGTGTTACTGTGCGCCGGCGAACCAAAATAGATGTGTTTGTCGAATGAAAACGAAATTTAGTGTAGTGGTACGTTCTACTATAATAAGAGTCACCGCACGAATGAATTCACCTGTCGCCTTCGGTAGACAGTAGGTAACACAATGGATGGTAATTTGTTGCACATTTGCCATCTGCTGTCGGATATCCTGTTTCCTGTTAGGTCTCGTACGTATTCGAACTCGACTATACGAATCTCAAATGTATGCATATCACGTTATTATTTCACTTTGTAGCTACAAATGACGAACAGTTCGTGTTTTTCTAGTACTCCAAATCAGTAAATGGTTTTTGGAATAAATAGGTACCTAATCGGTTAAAATAATAAACAATGTTCCTGCGTATAAATTATATTATTTTGCCCTATTAATTCAAATTCGATATACTAAGCTAAATAATAATAATAATAAAATAATACTATTATTATAATACATAATATAACTATAATTATGTAACATTTTATATTGTTGGTCATTAGATTTAAATATATAGCTTAAAAAAATATTATCCGAGGACTTTTAAGATTTCCTAAAAATATTATATTTTATTGCTAAATTATAGCACAAAATCACGCTTGGCTGGCTTACATAATTATAAAGGGGCAAGTGGCGACAATGCAACATTCTATTCACTTCCTGTAATGGTAAAAATATAATATTACAACTATATTATTATTTATATAAAATTAAACGAAATATGTCTAAAAGTTGTTGTTATTACTTGTTTTCGCCGTGTACTTGAAAGGTGTATGCGGTTTAGTTTTTTGGGGACTGCAGATTTTAATTTAGCGTGCTGTAGTAGGAGCGTGGAAAAATAGTATTATATCTAATATATCTAGACCGAATGGCAAACGGTTATAATACGTTTATACAACGAAAATTATATTTGTTTCTATTATTTGAAGTCGCACTAATTGTTATGTCGGGAGGCACTCTCTTGGGCTTAGCCCGGGGAATGGTCTATTATCGCTTATACGAGGGGTGTTTGTTTCGCGTTTATTATCGTTTGTGTACTTTTAACTTTGTTTGAATGTAAATTATACTTTATTTGTGTGTAAATTATTTGAAGTTTTACTTATTATTTTACTTTTAAAAATAGTTACCTTTTTCCTAACAATTTAATTATTACAAAGGTGTAATTTAAAATAATAGTCACTGAGTGATAGGTTTCTTTGTTATAAATTGGTCTCTAAACTCAATAAAGAACGTACGCATCATTTACTGGCTCAACTAAGTTCTCATACTTAGCTCTAGGTCAAGGTGTACCGATTGGTATAATCCCATAGACCTATAAAGATATGGACTGCGCCTCCCACACACCCCACCTGTACTGCCGCGTTGTGAACAACGTTAGAAAGAGATAGATAGAGTTGTTAGGTTTCCCATGGAATACAAATTGAAGACATAGAATAATAAAACTATATATATATGACGATACACACACATGGAAATATATAATAATTAAATCATATTTAATTATTATTAATTATTGTGTTATTCGAAGTTTCTTTATAGGTCTATGGTATAATCCCTACGAGATTTAGAAATACTTTTATACCATTTATACTTTGAAGTCAGTAAATAAATACTACTTAGGTTAAACCTAAAATACAAGCGTTATTCGAGTGTGTGCATTTCGTGTATTGAACCAAGTTCGTATACGACAGTGTAAAATGCGAATTCATTAATAGAAATCTGCGAATATGCCTTAATCAGGCAGCTGGCACCTGCAGGAGGTGCAAAATTTTACATATGAATTAAATTTATTGTCGCCAGGTGCGCAACTATTGCTTGGCCCGGCCCTGATAATAGGTTGAAGTACATGTTTCTAAACGAGTACTACACTGTTCATTCGTTTCTTTTAAGTGCTCCGGGGTTGGGAAAAAAATAAAAAAAGACTAGGAAGTGGAAAAGACATAACTGATGATCATTTTACAGGATTTTTACGACCCGTCCGTTCAAATCCAACAAGGTCTATTACCATTTATCAGCAATTATTAATTGTTGCCGATTATGATTACATAGTTTAAAATATAATACTGCTGGTAAACAATGACTCAGTTTTTTTGGTTCACATTAAAAACCAACATTACGTTTGAGCATTAGGAACCTTAAAATAGCTACAATATTTTTAGTTGGCTAAGCTACGCTGAATTGGCTGTTGATGAAAATAAGTTAGTGCACCGATTCAACAGAAATAAAGCATAGGCTATCACTGTATGAATTTTTTGAACCCAATGCTCTTATAAACCATACATTCTTATATGACTTAGGCTAAGTAAACTTAACGTTTAAAAAATAGAAAAATAGAGTTCTTTTAAAGATAGGTATTTTGACTTCCAGTAAATTTATAATGAGAACATACAAAATTTCATTTTTGAAAATACTGCTGTAAACAATAAAAATGTATTTCAATGGTTATATTTAGACTTTAATAATTAAGTATTTAAAATACTTTTGTGTTACCAAAAACATTTACTAAAGCAAATTGTACTTATTACTTAATTTGTAACTAATGCAAATAAATTAACATTAAATCACTTTAACTTTTTTATCTTTGTTTGAAACATAAATAAAACTAATGCACATGTTTTTAATAATGACAACTACATCAATTTCAACTTAACGATAAAGATGATCGGCATGTATATTGGCTGCAATTTCAGATTCCCATTTATCACCGTTATTCAATAATTTTTCCTTGTTGTACAAGAGTTCTTCATGTGTTTCGGTAGAATATTCAAAATTTGGCCCCTAAAAAATTGTATTAATTTAGTTGATAGTTGTTAAAAAATTCAACCTACATAAAATATAATTGAAAATAAAATCCAAAATTAATAAAAGTAAAATTTGATCTAAATATATAAACACATGACCACACAATAGAGAAGAGTACAAAAGCACTAATTTCTGTTTTCTGCAGATTCTAAGAAAATATAAAAATGTAGACCCAGAGTTCTTTTACATAAATGTGTTTCGATATGTGGTATATGAGTAGAAACTTCTTCTTCGTTTGTCAAATTCTTATTCTGATTAAGATCGGTTATAAATTATCCCTATTGAAGCACATTGTCAAACATAATGAGTACTGCAATTAAGAGGATATTTTACACACAATTTTCCAGCATTCAAACATACCGACGCAAATGGGTTTTACTCACTCCGTGTTGATTTTAGAGCATAAATACTTAACAAAAACAAAAATGACAAGACTTTTAAGACAATGTCATATTCTTTTTTAATTGATTAATCTAATATTTAACATTTTAAATCACATTTTTTTACTTTTTTAAAATAACTACAACATTATTTTCAAAATTGGATATGACATTTTCTTCAAATGTTGTTATCTATCAATTTTATAATAGGTGTTTTTGCTATAAACTCTATGGACTGAGTAAAACGCATTCTGTGTAGCCATGTTTAGATGACATTTTTTCTCAATCACTGTCAAGGATGCTGTGATAGTCCGAAAAAACAATTAACTACTAAAAAAAGTCCTAGTTACTGAATTAATAGGAGATATAATTAATAATTATACCTCCTAGTTTAACTTTTAAATTACGGTTTTTCAAAAATTGCCTATACCTATCTCCTTAATAAGTACAACTTTTCTTCGATGAATCCCTGTTAGACATTTAAAACTATGTCATAATTTCAATTAGTATGTATTATGTCATTGGAGAGGATGCACAGATTCAAAATGGGATTCGTTAACCTTTTTATTTAATGTACTGAATATATTGTCCTAGATTCTACATAAAAATATTTTACTTCAACTATTGCATCAACGGGACATGCTTCTTGACAAAAACCACAGTATATACATTTTGTCATATCTATATCATAACGAGTGGTACGGCGACTTCCATCAGCTCTTTCTTCTGCCTCAATGGTTATCGCCTATTAAATAATATGAAAGATTAATTTAAAATATTGTTACAAATATTATGAATAATTTTTTTTTACTTGAGCAGGGCAAATTGCTTCACATAATTTACAAGCAATACATCTTTCTTCCCCAGATGGATAACGCCTAAGAGCATGTTCTCCTCGAAAACGTGGGGACAGTGGACCTTTTTCAAATGGATAATTAATAGTAGCGGGTTCTTTGAAAAAGTGAGCTAAAGACACAGCAGCTCCTGAAAAATAAATGCCGAATAAATTATTTTATTATTATTATATTAGAAAATAATTTCCAATATCTTTTAAATGTTAACATTTAGAAAAAAAAACACACGAATCATAACGTAGATTAAATATAAGTACATAGACTATTCTGGGCTGTTTGCTTATTTGGCAGTGCTGTATAGAACTGACCTTTTATTAAATCAAACATTTTTCGAGTCCATTTTTAAACTTTTTTTTTTTTTATAAAAGTAATACTTGTATAAAATGGCAAATGTAGAACAGAATATAGTTAAATTTTGTTTAAAAGGTTTAGGTATATAAAAAAATGGAAAATATTTTATACTTTAACTAATAAAAATTATGTTAGTTATGGTTGCATCAAAACTCACCATGAATTTTGTCTCTGGTGATCAGTAATGAAACTAGGGGATGGCTATTTTTGGATACTTTATATATACATAAACAACTTTATTTAAAAAAAATTATGCGAGTTGCCCAAACTGTGGGTTGCTAGATGACACAGCATACTACTTCAATCGTGATAAGAAATACAATAAATAATAAGACATGAATAAATAAAATAAATATATCAAACATTGAATAATAGAGTAATTAAATTAAAAAAAAATAATGGTGATTGTTAAGCGTTGTAATCCTAAACTGAGAGAGGGAGAGAAAAAAAAAAGAAAGAAAGAATAGTACACAATGTATTATACACGTTAATCTGTTGTCAGTTAAACATATGAAATATACATACTGTACTTCTAAAAAATATATTACTGAGTAAACTTAATCACAGGTTAAAATTTATTTAACGGTATAAATAATAAATCTGTTATCTTAAATTTGTAAAGCTATGGTAGTACGACTAAACATATTATACATAATACTACCTATAACAAATAAGAATTACCTCTAAATAGTTCAGTAGTAAAAGCATAAGAAACTGCTTGATCTGTAAGCGAATCCCAACTAACATCCTCAAATTCTTCATCCCGGTTAACATTTACATAGTTGGTTCGTGATATTACTTTCATAGGTAACCAAGAAGATGATCGCAACACAGGTTTACCTAAAATATTAAGATATATTAGGTTATACATATGACAGGGTAGCATCATGTGAGCTATTTGTAAATAAACGAATCAGTTGTTAGTAGAAAAAACTCAACAATGTTTGTTTTTTTAATTAAACTGTACATTACATCAACAACTTATAATTAAAGAATTTTAATTAAGTTAAAAAGTTACAATTATTTGAAAAATGAGAAGAATAAGAATATAAAATACAACTTTCTTTAAGCAAACTAAGGTAATTTTTCTGGGTTAGAATTTAATACAAAAAACTATTGTAAACATAATAGTTAAAAGTTATAGCATGAAGTATGATGTATATTCAGTAATTTGAAATACAAAATTGAAGAAAAGAAAATATTGAAAAATAATGTTACATGTTATTGATAAAGTAAATTTATACCAACAAAGTTCTAAATTCTAATAGTTAGTCTATCAAAGTGTAAAGCTAAACATGGTTAGCAAGTTATTGTTTACTACTTTCTTTTCATAAGATGAAATAAAATAAACACAATTTTTCTGAACATTTTTGTTTATGCTAAATATTTTTAATACATCTAAAAGATTTACCTAATCTGGCTAAAGCAGAAACGTTCATTTTAGATTTGAAGAATGTTATTAACACTGTACGTGTAAATTTAGGACAAATAGTCTTGTTAAGTATATTCAAATTAAGAGATTATTTAGATGAAAAACTTTAAAACTTGGGAGCTATTCTCTCTCGGAAGAGAATATTTAACCTTGCAAGCTGTAGATAATGAAAATCAACTCGACTGCAAATTACAATTGATAACTTAATTGATATGTATTATCACTTAAATAAGAGTCATTCAGACATCGTTTCTACCTTCATAATAATCCGAATTTATGCTTACACAAGTTTTGGAGTTTCAAAATTTACCAAAATTTGTAAAAGAATTTACCATTATTAAATGTTGAAAAATGAAATTTTCTTTTCTGTCTATGATGTATAAAATTGTTTGAAAATAAAATACTAGTATTATTTATTATTACAGTTAGAATTATCAAATCTAATAACTGACATGTGGAAATAAAGTATACTGACCTCTTAACTACACAGTAAAAATAATAAAAATATTTATAACACCTATGTATTAGTATAACATTAATTTTATTAGATACATTATATAACGATATGAGCATTTTTATAGTTCATATAATTTTTGTTTGTAAGCATAAATTCAATAACAATTTATAAACGTGTGTATACTGTGTAAAACATTAATGGCATCTAAATGTTTTATTATTTATATAATAATATTAATAATTAATTTTACTTTATATTTTTAAATTGTGCGTAGTTAAGTAGTAAAAAACATCAGTCGTCACTTAAATAAACAAATTTAAAAAAAGTAGATTTTATTTAAAAATATAACAGTACAAAATATTATGTTGTAGGTAAATAATTGGTTCTTAGTTTAATTTTGAATTTCTTTCAAATGATTGGTCGCTCGTACAGTGATATTTAATGCAGGATTAATTGGATTCAAGTTTTTCATTCCAATTAAACTTAATCCACACAGACTTAAACATGTGTGCATTGGATCTGGTATGGAGTCCATATCTTTACTAAACCCGCCAGTCAATAAATTGGCATTGTTTAATACAAAGTCTTTATTTTCTTCCTTATTTATTTTATCCAATGATCCCATAATACTTAGGGTAGCTCCAATCCAAAATGAATAACAAGTATCTGGTTCCTTATTTGGTCTTCCTTGGAAGCCATTAGTCTGACGATTTATAGCCCAACGTTCAAGTATTTTTAGTTTGCTATTGTCTAGAACATCATTTAGTTTGTTTAGTAAAGATAATGAAGCAATTGCACAGTAAGTTGATCCGCCATGTGATTCTGTCCCTGGGTTTTGTCCAAAGGCTCCATCGTAATTAAAACAATTTGAAATAAATTGTACAGCTTTATCTACATTAATGCCTGATAAATCATTTAATATTATACAAACAGCGAGTGAACAATAAACAAATCTCAAATCACTTTCACCATATTCGTAGTTACTTTTAAAACTTCCATCAGCTTTTTGAAGCGATGCTACACCTTGTAGGACTGCAGACTTATTTACACGACTTAAGTCATCACCAAGAGTTATCAGTACACACAAAGCCATATATGTCATAGCAACATTACTTTCACAATATTTTTCACAGCCTGAATGACTTTGTAAATGTATGACAGTAGTAGAACCCATAAATCCACATTTGTAAATTGGTACAGTTTCACTGGGTACAAGTTGCAGGCGATAAACCCATTCAATAATATCTTTTTTGTACTCATCGGTCAACAAATCTAAACCATCTAGAATGTCTAAGCCAACAAGTACAAAATATAAAATAGTCAGCCGTGAACAATCAAACACTGCCGATTCGGTGGGTAGGAGCTCCAAAGATCGGCGAAAATACTTCTTATGTTGTTCAGGCTTAAATTCCGTTTTTGTCATTTTGATGTATTTTTAACTTCGTATCAGCTACAATTGAATTTATAATTTAAAATTGGCATTGTCTATCATTACAGGTAACACGGTTTAACAAATAATTTCTTAGACGAGGATTTTTAAACAATTGGTTTAATAATAATAATAGTAATAAAAAATAATTAATAACGTTGAATCGATAATAGTAAAGTAAAATTAAATTAAAAATTATTTATAAATTTAATTGATATAGACATATAGTGGCGGGCGGTATCTTTTTTTTTTATCATTAAATATAGGCTATTTGGTATACTACAGCCATCGAGATAATGCATGATTATCATTGGTATTCACCAACTGTAATGATAAATACACCGTGGTATACCACTACTATCATAATATTTTCAAAGATATTTAATAAAAATAAATTACAACTTCCTATTTAACCATCTGTTTTCATCTCAGGCGTATGCTTATGACAATAATAATTGGCTGGAAACCTATATAGATAGGTGTATACTATACACCTTATGGCTTATTCTACTACTATCTGGGCGGGATGCGAGCGGGTATATAGTACGAGCACGCCGCACGGTTATTGTCGTATATACATATACATATACGTGTATAATACTCAACTGGGAATTTAAATGCGCATGAGTAGTAGACCTAGGGACGTCGTTAGGTTCTGCCGTCAGCGCTGTCACATCGGCTCGATGGAACTAAAAGCATGCTCCGTCTAGGGATATAATAGTGTATGCTGTATGCGTCATATTATCAATCAATACGTTGGTCGTACACACACATACAACTGCAAATAAATACTAGTGTACACAATTGCAGTCAACAGCTTCCATAAACAATCCAGGAAATAATTCGGTTTCTTAAATTTTAAGTGGTTATTTTTTGGTCGTAATTTGGAAAAAGGTTCATTGAAAATCCGGAGTAATGTTTACAGTAAGTATAAATCCTCACACGATTACATAAAAAGTATATTGTATCATATTTACAAACATTACATCACTTACAACAATATACCCATAGATTAAACATAAGTATAAGTATTTTTGTCATTATTAAATCTTATCATTTTAAAAGTCGTACAAATTATGTTGTATAAAGCGGCTTCCCACAACGTAAGCTACGAGTCTCTCAGCCGTTAAATGCGTTGTGGGAAACCCTTGGCTTAGCGCGGTTCGTGGCGACTCGAATATTGTCTGTAAATCGGTCCCGAGTCAAAGGAGAACGCGCCGCCCTAAGCAAGAGGGCTCGCCTAACCACTCGCCATGAGAAAGCTTAAATTTGCATTGCATCAATCTTGATGTCACTTGGGCGCGCCAGAAGCTTGCCAAGTCACGTGTCTTGGAAAGCCTTTAAGCTGCGTATCGACTACAAACAGCAAACCCTCAAACATTAGCTTGCGCGGCAGTCGATCTTAATTGATACCTAGTTGCTTTGTGAGTTAACTCAAACTTTGCCGCGATCAAACATGCTGCGGGGAGAACCAGTTTTTGTCGGTCTTTTGGCACGCATCAGAGGAGCTTCATTTAATGGCTCGCGATTGCCGCTAAAAGTTTTTACCTAAATTGGCTTGCATGGCAAATGAATGTTTTAGTTCTAAAGTTAAGATACTAAAAATATGTTTATTTCCGCGTGATACACACACATTTGACTCGAGTGTACGCTGCTACAGTATTATTGGTATAAATGCACTTTACTAAGCACCCTTTTTTTTTTTGCCAGCATGTAGTATTTTTCATATTTCTGTGTGTATAACAAAGGTCGGCGGCTACCAGTTGTTATAGCTAGCGGCTTACTATACCTTTGTCTACGACGGGAGGATAGGTCAGGTTAGGTTAGGTTTGGTCTCATTAGGTTGCTGACGCTTTTAGAGAGGTTAGTTTAGTTTAGTTCTTTAGGCAAGCTATTTCTTCCTCTGGGGGGGGTTTGAGGGCGTGAGCCCCCAACTAATGAATACAATTTTCTTAAAGTTTTAAGTTAGTAAATCTTTAACTATATAAAATTACTTCCTACGCCTGCTAGCTTCGGGAGCTACCTCGAGCACCTTCGGAATTCTTTGTTGGATGGAAGCTTATGCTCCTAAACTCCCAGAGAAAAAAAATAGCTTGCATAAAGGACTAAACTAACCCGATACTGTTCTGGACGCTTCCAGTCCTAACGAGACCGAAAATAACCTAACAGAACTTATCCTTGTGTTGCCGACATGTATGGTGTGGTAGCTATGGCCGCAAATGCCGCCACCCACCCATTGTTATACACGCAGAAATATGCGAATTTGAAGTAGCTATAACTTTGATTTAGAGGAGTCTGCCGATTTTTGACTTCAGATTCGTTATCAGGGTAAAAAAAAACACTACAAGATGGTAAAAAAAAATTGCAAAAATGATATGCCCGGTAAAGTGCATTTATGCCAACTAAATTATGTAAACCATTACCATTGCATTTTTAAAATTGCTTTGTGTAAACACTACAATTATAAAATTGTTGAAGTTTATTATGGAATATTATGTAACCTAATAAATAAATAATATTAAAATATTTATAGTTTGCAAGTGACTGTCCTGTGAACAATGGGCTTAAGTTGGCTGAACGGCGAAAAAATGAGTGGCGTTGTTTGCTCTGTTGTCATGTTCGCACCGGAACAATTTTTCTTGGTATTTGGCACCTGGTAATACATTTTTTTATTTTTGTATATTATACATAAGTCATAACTTCATATATGTTTATACAATTTATCTATTTTTAGTTGTTGCAATTATTGGGATTGAGTGCAATAGTAGTGTTCTTTCGTAACCCTGACACATTAACATATATTCCAAGATCAGAAATAGTACGTAACGATCTTATGGGTATAACTGAACAAAACATTCCAATAAACAACGTTGAATCTACTAAATTCTATAACTATGATAACGAAGAACCAGTTCAACCACCTAATGTTTTATCTGCTTCAAATAAAAACAACCAAGACGACACAGACGTTTTTACATCTTATGTGTTTGCTACTTTTAAAGCACAATATGGTGAGTAAATTTATTAATTTTATCTTGTACAAGATTAACAAATGCTTTTTTATATTTTGCTAATTTTTGCAGGAGAGTTTAATTTTGCAACGGTTGTACTAATAATCTTGGTTACCATAACAGCCACTATGCTTTATGGCGCTATAAAAGGAAAACCTCTGCTGTTTTTACCGTTCTTCACTATACAACTACTTGAACTATGTGTGACCATGTTAGTTATATTTAGTGTATTTATTGTTATTACAGTAATGACAATCAAATGATTAAATTTTAAATGAAAATATTTTGTCAATTATAGGATGTCAGCATTAGGATTCTTGTTTTATTTACCGGACTTTTATCGTATGCTTGACTTCGCTCAATCGGAGTATGAACCCAGTTTGAAATGTAATCCGCATTACATAGTATTGGTTGTAATCCTTTCAATGACTATCTCAATCATAACTAAGGTTTGTATATTGTTTTTTAAAAGTATGAGAGCAAATGTTTGGGGAAACTTGTTTCTACCGTTAAAGCCCCCAGTGACTGTACTTTCTTTTTGCTCTAACGTGTCTTACAATGACTTCCTAAAGTCCACATAAAATAAGTTGACATAATCCAAACTCAAAAAATGACCATATTTTCTAATTTTGCAATTTTCAGCACCATAACTTAAAAATAATGTCAAATTTTGTATTTTTCCAAACAACCAAACTTTTATGGAGAATAGATGATCTCAAGACATATTCATGATCCGTAAAATATCATTGTTTGATTTTCTAACATTTATATTATTAAAAATTGTCGACATCAAATTTTAAATAAATTGTTTTAATTTAGTGTAGACATACTTTAACCCATTAGCGCCTAGCGTTGCCGTATGGCAACATCCAATTTTTTCTAATTTTTAAGTATACAATTTTCTTTCTTTTTTTTTTTTAATTTCATCAATTATTAAAAAAAAAACTCCGGCGTTAATGGGTTAACTGCCGAGTTCTTTAGAAAAGTCCATCATAAACATGTTTTTTCATACAAAAAAGTGCTGTGATGCTTTAAACCGGCCCGACATGACTCGTGTACTTGAGGACTGTTGTCATCGCGGATGCTGGCCAAATTATTGTCTTTCTTATGGCGATTATGAACAATCTTAGTCGATGAATTACACCGAGTTGTGTGGGAATCCCAGCAATAGTTCATGTTAATATTCTTTATCCCTTTGACTCGTGTCACCTATACCAACATCCATCGAGAAACGCTGAGTAAAAATAATCATCATACTTTATGATTAAATTAAATAAATAACTCCTACACGACTTGTAAAGCACAGCGATTGACGATTATTCGCCAAATACGCAAGTCGTGTGGGACTGGCTTTATAACCTAACTATCATTAACTCAAGTATACATACAATTAAATTTTTTTTAGACTTATTATTTGGCTGTGGTTTGGAGCTGTTACAAGTATTTGAATCTAAAACTGACTGCCTCAAGGCCAACTATACACTATATCGAATCAAACTTGGCTGTTCAGAATCTTTTGCGCATGGACGATAATTTCGCTGATAAAAAAAAGAAGTTCCCTACTCCTCCTCCATCATATTCAGTAGCTGTTGGTGAAGCCAACGTGTGCCCGCCAGATGTACCCCCTCCATCATACCGCTAATTAACTAAAACTTGTAACGGATATTAATTAAAGTTTAAAAGTGTTCCCATTTTTTTTTAAACTTTAAAAGGTTTTAGTTTAAAAATCAATATTATCAATTTAGTTGTTATGACCTAGTCTTTTGAATGTACTATGCTAATAATTTGTTTAAGTAGTAAAAAAATCATAGTATCATACAATTAGTATAGAAATTAAAAATCAAAATTTTTAAACCATTTCAAATTCATTGATGGTTTTTTTCCTATTGTTATAATGTTATAATTTTATTTAATGGTGCAAATATGAGTTTGTGATTTATTTATCGATTCAACCTAGGCATAATGAAGTTTCCTAATTGTGTAAAACCAGGGCTTAGAATTTGTATTAAAATTGTTTCGACATTAAAAATTAATAATTGGTAAAAAAACAAAATATTGCACAAGTTGATAAATTTTTAAATTGCTAGTAGCTTATAACATACATACAATTATAAAAGTTAAAGAGTAATCGTATAGAAATTTAATATTTTCAATTCTTAGCCCTGATACTTTTTTTGTTATAGCTATAAATACATAATACGTGTCTGTCAATTTTATTGATTTGTAGCCAATATTTCATTGATCTGTGTAATTAAAGTTCCTTGTGTGAGTCTATTCTTATTATAAACTTTTCTTTTTTTGTTTTTAACTTCCAAATTATAACAGTTTTCATTTTATTTAATACTGTATTATATTTTTTGTATAGTCAGAAACAAAGTAAATGATGCATTTATTGAATTTAGTTTTATTAATTTACCTATATAATATTATTGGTTATAATAACCCATTAACATATCTGCCCTCTAATGTTATTATTTCTTTTGTTGTGTATTCTCTATAAAGTATATGATCATGCATACCAAAAAACTGTTTTCTGAAATTGAAAATTTAAACTATATAAATGATTAGATAGTGATAAATTAAAATTACTATATTTTAGTGTTCAGTTGGACCGTGTTAAAATTGACCCAATAATGATTTTCCTCGATGTTGCGTATGTATTAATGTTGGTGTAATTTGATTGTGTTACTCAAGATTCCTGATTGCTAAGATTAGAATTCTTATAGAAAAATAGAAATATATTATAATATAGAACGCATTATAATGCATTTCTTTAACAATAAAAGTGAAGTTACAATGTTACTTGAATAAATGCTTACAATGTAATATTTTTTGTTTCGTTTTATTATAACAAAGTGTTTGTTTACTCACATACCAATAACCTATAGTTTTGATGTCATATTAATAAAATTATAGTAATTATTCATTATCTTCATAGTTTATTAATTAAAATACAAATTTTACTGTTAATGTCTAGAGAACAAAGATTATTAGTAAATGATAAATATTTCCAGGAAACATTTTACTATCGGACGGTTTGGTGATTGCCATTCTTAGTATAAAGAGTAATCACTAGTGTTTTATTCTAAGAATGAATCAAACAAATTTGAAATGATTTTTATTTTATATTGAAAAATCGATCAGATTTTCAGTTCACCCTTACACTGAGAACATAGTACTTATTACAATAAAGCTACTATTCGGCCTGTGTATTATGTACTTGCATTAAACAGTATTATATTGAATTCACCTATTTTAACCTATTTCACCTATTCACCCATTACGATCGAGCAATAGTTTATTGTCTACGTGAGAGGGTTGACACTCGACTATATAGCAATTACCATATATATTATAAGGATAAACTATATTAAAATGTAATTACATTTTATTAATTACTATAAAGTACTTGTAATTAGTTTAACATGGATTACTGTTGGTGGGTAAAATAGTTATTGGCTGTTTAGTATGATATAATGCATAATTAACTTGTATTTTGATTGATGGAAAGATCTTGCATTATATTAAAAGAACGGCTGTAAGTGAACGGCGATGGGTCGCATGTGCCAACGGTTTAGCAGTTTGACAGCAATGCCATATATGATCTACCCACATACGAGTGAGTAGTGACGTCATATATTTGTAAGTACCGGCTTCGTATGATGTGTGAGTACTTATAATCATTTTAATTTTTTAATAATGATATTGTAGCAAATAAGTCACGAATATTTATTGTAACAATCAATAATAATACGATTTCCTGTCGTGCAATTCAACGTCATTTTTGTAGTATAATAATTTGTTTCGTAAACACGTCCGCCACCTACACGCATCATGCGTTTTTATGAATTAACATAAAAAAACGGGTTTTAGTGCAATTTGTATAATATATGTAACGGATGGATGAACTTGCACGCTTGCTCCTACATTTTATTTGTACAGACAGAGCTTGCGAATTAAGAACGGTAGCCGTAGGTACGTCAGAGGAATAAAAAGCTATTTATTATTGGTTAAGGAGTAACAATTTAAAAATCGCGTAGGTAATATTATGTAGTGTTTTAAATTCTAGTACAGTTTCGAAAAAATTAAGGTCAAGCTTATGCACTAGAAAAGTTATAATTTAATCGGTATTTACCACTTATTCTAAAAACTAATTTGAACCTTTAAAGTTATCTTAGGCAGTTTTTTAGTTCTCGACTGAGATTTTTTTAGTTCGAAATACTCTTAATTAGGTTTAATTTAATGTTCTTACATTGTCTTGTACAAACCCATTTATTTTTATTTTTTTTAAGTGTAGTTAATTCTTTCCTCTTAATAAAATAAGTTTAAAAAAGCATCACCATAAGCTAAAATTGGAGAGAGACCATAGTTCCTCTAATATTTTTAAAGTCCACTAAATAATATTGTTTTTTTATATAGGTACAGGTAATTGCAAATTTTATATTTATTAATGTGGTATTGCGAAATATGCGGATTGACATTTTTGCCATACCCTCACTGTAACTCTGGATTAAATAAAGTATACATTAATATTAACTGTTGGCTAATGATATTGTTCGTAATACCATTTACTAATTAGGATTTGACCACATCTACAATTAATCAGCGCACTGTAAACAGGCGATGCGGTATAACATATTATTATGTTATACTGGATACTTATACGCTTAAATAACGATTATCCACAAGTGGTAAGTAGCGTATTTCTATGTATAACAATAAATTATCATAAAATGTATATGATTTTTTTAAATCGCTTTACCTTCACTTATATAATTAGTACATGTCATAATAATAAATATAACAGGTATGGAGCACAGGTACACAATTCATTTAAACCATTTACAACTTTTATAGTTTTAATGTCTCTTGTAGAGCAAGAGTTGACCAAACCAACCTAAACAGGTCGTAGACTAAAATAAAAATAGTCTTATAAACAAAAGTTTTGTTACATATTTGTGAAAATTGTATAAAAAATAAATTACATCGAAATCTATAACGGATTTACTTATATCTACATTGAATTATAGTACTGTCAAAAAGAGATTAACTACTTCCCGCTCTCCCTTAACCGTCCAACTTTCAACTTTTATTTAAGTTACACCAAGTATTTGTGTTTTCCAATCTATGTGGATTTTGAAAGTAAAATAGTATCTAACGAAATAAAAGTTTGCCGTTTTCCTTTGATGAAAGTTTTTTAGATTTTTTTATTTTTTAACTATAATTTATAGGACTGTAAAATTTTGTTTTATACGGTTTTCTTTTATTGTAAATAATATTATTGTCGATGAGACAATATATTATATATAAGGCATCTATATAACGGAGCTTGTAGTATCTATTCGTGTATGTAAGCCATCAGCAGAAGACGATCATCAATAGTCGATGACCTTCGACCATGTCCATATTTAGTAGCAAAACCCCTTGTGTGTACACGTACCAAATGCCATAATTATTCGTTTTTACTTTCAAAACTACCTCCATATCGAGACAACTTGCATGACCACAGGGCTCCCAAGAACTGCTGATGACAAATGTGCGATGGCTACGATTGTTTTTTTTTGTTGATGTCTACAATATAACTATACTTGTTACTTGTATACATAGTACTTATTTGTAATGGTAAAACACGATTGATGGTCTAATAGATTAAATAAAAAATTCACACAGGTGTTTTTGTATTTTACAGTACTTATCTGAATATTACGTTTTTTTTTAATTTTATTAAATTTATTATTTTTAATCTGTTTGAAATACGATAATTTTGTAAAAAATAAATTAACAAAATGATTTACTCGTAGGCAGCAAATGAAAAAAGTGTAATGTTTAATTATTTTATATTAAAAGAAAACTATTAAAAACTCTTCTTTAAAAATAGCGAGTAATCTACCTGAATTAATCTTGATATTGACATTTTAAAACGAAATATTGCCTAAATTTACACAAACTAAAGTAAATATAAATTCTTACTTTAAAAAATAAAAATAAAATAAATTATATCGAATAATAATTATATAAACTGTACTATATATATATTTTTAGAGACATTTGTTTACTGTAAAATATTTTTCTAGTAAATATTAGTAAAAAAATAGCTATCATTATTGTTCTTTTTTGTCTAGTATGATTAATTTAAAATTACATTTTTGAAACACATAAGCACTTTGTGAACGATATTGATTTTCTGGAGTCTTAAACTGTTGATTCAGTCCTCATTCCTCAGATTATCTAGCTAATTTAGATTATCCGCTAAAAAATAATTTGATTGCTAGCATTTAGTTAAACATGAAAGTTCTATTATAATTGAATTAAATATTCGTTAGCCTCTACAAGTTGTTTGTTTACTTATTAGGTACTAAATATACATATTACTTGAGTATGTAAATGTGAATACGTTTACCTAACACTTACAATTTTATCGCCCGTTGATTGTGGTATACATTGTATCTGCTTATATAGTATACTGTAAATACTGTATGTAGGTAATTCCAATAAATCATGTTTTCACGAGAAATAAATGGAAAAAATAATCGCATATATGCATGTATGTATGTATATATATATATTTTTTTTTTATTCCTATACATTTCTTGAATTATGGTTATTTAAATAACCATGTTATTGTTTGTCCTATAATTTGAACAGTAATGGTTAGGTATACCTGGTACACTATAATAATAATTATGTGAGAGTACTTCAATATTAATTCACTTTGAATATTAGTCGTCGGTCGTAAAAATTATGTTTTTTGCAGTGTTCTTTAACTTACAGAAATTAGGAACATGGTGTATAAGTGTCCATAACTATACTTATATGTTATGGTGAAAAAAAATTACTTGTCACATTCCATTTGGACAATACAGTCAGTTGAACGATTCTTCAAGTACTCCTTGAAGAATACTAGGAATCCACCTGACATGTGTACGAGGACGTAATGTAAAATTATGATTCTGTCTACACTCTACATATAATTATATTATGTACATTTAACAGGGTAAATATAACAACGACGTTGGCACAGATCGAACGTGAACTTGATACCAACTCTAAGTAGAGGAATAAGGTCATAATGATCGTTAAGATAATATATATCAACATGTCTAGTGAAGTGTATACTGTACATAGTTATAACAATCGTGTCAAAATGCTAACAAACAAAAATTCTGCAAAAAAAATTATACAACTTGATTAAAAACGTCGACAAAAAAAAAATTGGAGGATGAGTCGTTTGTTAAACTTTAAAGTGTATAGTAATTACTAATTATTAAACATACCACTTGTTTGTATAAGGTATGCATATTGTATCGCACAATAGCAAAAAGATTCACATAATATTTGTGTATATGTTAATTTGGTAAATCATCGTGATTCACTCTACGTATAATATATTTAACTTA